CCAGTTCGACGTCTTTTCTGCCTGGTTTAACACATCTCTCAATCGAGACCTCATCTCGGTTAGCGACTCCAACCCGTCGTCCGATACACCAAGAGTTTCCATCGTGTTAAAAACCTCCCTCATACTCATTTCAGCGATCCGATCGATGCTTTTCGCTTTGCCAGAGGCCATTTTGCAGACCTTATTGGCCGGTTTTTGCTAGACGCAAAGCTGTTGAAGAACTACATATGTCAGCTCTACATTGCTCCGTCTGAAATATTTAAAGTGTAAAGTCCATTGCATCGAATCATAGCTTTGTTTCATTCTCCTGCTGCCGCAAAACAATTGAAAGAAGAGATAAGCGCGCGGAGGACGATGGGAAGAGAGAAAAGTCTTCCGACGCAATGTGATGCACGGAAACATCATGGGAAATAAAGATTCCCAGGTTCACAGGCGACCCAAACTCACGTTACGAGGGAACGAAGTGTTCTATGAAAGGAGTAAGAGTGGTTACGCAATAAAGCCAAAAAAAAACAGTAAACGTCAATCAAACACCAAAATGCAGTGGAACAAATCGCAGGTAAGTCTTTTTTATTCATTTCATTTAAGAAAAAGTAAGGTTTAGCGTTATTTAGCGCTCGCAGATCTCAGTAATATATTTCTCATACAAAGTCTCTTATGCTTTCAACGGTCGCCTGTAACGCGACACCGGCGCGTCACCCATGGTATGTAAATTACATTACACCTTTTCCTCGTAACGTGAGTTTGGGCCGCCTGTGCCAGGTTTTGACAGATCGCGCCCGCAGACGTAGCCTGGTATGCCACTAGCAGAGGTCGAACATTTCCACAATTATGCTAATAATTATGCTAGATTTTGTAAATTATGCTCATTTTAGCAAAAAATGCTGAAATTATGCTTCTACTCAGTCTGGCTTCTACTTAATTTACCTTAAATTTGGTAAAAACACCTAAATTAAATACTATGCAAAAGACAAGTACTGGGTGGCAAACTCATTTACCCTATTTACAAGTAGAAACTTTACTATAGTGCATAATTCATTAAAGTTATAGCGGAGCTCCCGCGCGCGCGAAGCGCGCGCAGCGGAGCACAATGGGTAAGAAAATTTGGTAAACTATCCATCCCAGAAAATTTGGTTATGACGTAGCGTACGCCCGTCCGTACACACATTTCATGTAAGCCGATGTCAAATGTCACGATAGATCTTGCACAACTTGACTAGCCTCTTAGTTATGTAAGCCATCCGTATGAGTACGATTAGATTGACAGCTGTCAAAATCAGACATCCGCTGACAATTATCACATGACCGTCTCGCGGGCTCAGATAAAAGACCAGTCGTTTTGCCCCTATATATAAGCTGATATAATATGTCACACTTACCAATTCAACATAAAAACGAAACTACGCCAGGCAAGGCTGTCAGTTGGCTGACAGTCGTTTAAAGTTACATTGGCAGGCCAAATTAAGGTCAATTGACAGCTGTCAAAATGGGACATGTGCAGACCGCTATCAGAAAACTAATAACGAGGGCTCAGGTTCGCTCAGGTACACGATCTGGCATTTTCCACTACATGCCGGACGGAAATGTCCTACTCACACTCGTAGTCTGTTAATTCGAATATTCGCCATTCTAATGAAGGTTAATTGACAGCTGTCAAACTAGAGTATACGCTGACCATCATCACCTGAGTGGATCGCGGGCTCATTTTTCTATCTATTGAGGTCACGTAGTGTTTAAAGTTTTGCGCTGATATTTTATTTGATCACGGGCTCAATTCGAAGCCCCATAGCTTTATAGAAAATCTATCCATCCTAGAAAATTCGGCAATCACGTGACCGTACACCGACCACCCGACCTTCCGTCCGTCCGCACCACAGGCATACCAATGTTTAATCTCACACTTTCTAGCTAGTTTGGGAGCCTGCAACCTGATATTGTACATCCATGTTTTGATTAATTGACAGCTGTCAAAACAGTGTTTCTGCTGACCAGTATCGCCTGACCGTATCGCGGGCTCAGGTATCGACCCTCTGAGTTCGAGTAATATTTTGAAGGTATTCGCTGACAAGTTGCTACTTTTCAAATGATCGCAGGCTCAAGTTCAATTTTTTTAAAATGCATATGAAATAAGTCGTGTTTCATGAGCCGCACTTTTAAAATGTTGATTTCGAACTGATCTCGGACACGAAAATTCAACCGGCTTTTACATTTACATGCAGGGAAGGCAATCGCTTTTGACTTTTCTCACTGTCACGCGTTGATCACGCTCTACGTCCAATTTTTATGTTCTGATTGGTCAAAATTTGACAGGTGAGTTTATGCGGAAAATTTTTGCAGCGTCTGGAAACTTGCTTACTGATAGCTGGAGCTGAGAGAGTTTTGTGTCATCTTGTGATGTTTTAAACTGTCTTTTTCTACTTGGTGTACAAAATGAAATACAGCTGCTATCAAGATTGTTCTGTAATTCGTGGCTGGTTTGTTTATTGCGCTTTTTGTTGACAAATGCACCGCTTGTCAAAGTCATTGGAAATCCGATTTCGGATGGCATCGTTTTCAAAAATGAGCTTACTCACTTGCCCTTGCTTGAGGCGTAAGAAGGTTGAAAAGTCTCAAGCGATTCTGGAACACTTGATGACCTTCAGAAGCAGCATCTCGACTGGTAAGCTTGAGCCATTATTGTTTTTGATGTTTTTTTTTTTCGGTTTCCTGAAGTCGAGCGTATGGTTTATGCGGCTTAAGTTAAAACACGAGCAATGATCTAACCTACAATAGTATCAGGTTTAAAAAGCCTTTAGACATTTTTTGACCCGCAAATTCAAAGAAAAGGTTCCGAAGATTATTTAGTTATGATTTTGGCTGTAAACAGAAAGCTCTGAGCGATTTTCTTGCCTCGAGTTCATCTTGAAAAAGAGCGAACACCGGGAAGCCGGCTTAAAACATAAATAAGCTTATGCTTGCCTGACTCATGATTTTCTGAGACACTTTACTCTCAATACTTCTCTTCGTGAATGAAAATTATTGTCTCTGTACATGTTTCACCGAATTAAACTTATTTTATTGATTGTTAGTAGTCCCTCTCGCAATTTTCATCGCTGCACCGGTTGTTTCCAGTCGAACATAAACATCGCATGTAGGAATACTCAAAACGCCGCGCGTAAATATCACTCGCTTTTAAAGATTACACATAACAAAACCATAAACAGTTTTATAAATAAAGGGAAATAAAACCTAAACATAACAAATTCTCTATCATGTTGAAGCGTAAATGGTAACTCTATTAATCGCACTGCAAATTTGGTGCCTGTCAAAAGTGAGAACCCGTCCGGCTGGCTGAAAAGTGATTTTGGGAATTTTTTTATCGTTTTCATTAAAAGCCCATAATTATTACCCCGCATATCACATAGGACCAGATTTTTCTAACAGAAAACGTTTTATAATTCAATGCTATAATTTTTTGTGCAAAGGAAGGGCGTGCTTTGATCGTCGTGGATATTGAATGAGTGCAAATTCTCTTGCAAAATTGTGAAAAACTGCGGAATTATAGGTTTAAATAGGGGAGAAAAGAACAAATTCTGTCCGAGGTCTGCGTACAGTTTACCTGAGACGTGATGAGAAAAAGTATGTTTAAAAGGCTGGTTTACACGCCACCAGATTCGTCGCCAAGATTTACTATCTAGTAAACTAAACTTGTCGAACACAAAAAATCCGGCCTGATTTTTATTTTGGCCTCTCTTTTAGACAGAGGAATGCAACGTGTAAATTGGCTGCCACCAAGGACTATCGTGGCGCATGTGTTTCTTAAAATTATATTTCGGGGTTGTTCAATTATCCAGTCTCTCTAACGGAGCAATGTTGGAGAGACTGGTGAATGCCACATTATGATGCTACAGCTATTGCAAATACAATACACGAATAGGTCTATTTGTTTTCCAGGCCTTTTTCGGTGTACAAATAACTTGATGTAAAATTTGTTTCACTCTTGGACGGTCAAATTCTGATTTTTCTCTAAAATCACTCAGCCTTTGCCTCAAAAGTCAAATGAATGTGCCCTGATCTGTAGATTACAAGTTTTAATATTGTTTGATTTAAATTATGAATTTATTAACGGGAGCTTAGCTTTTTGCCCTGGCTAAATCTATATATTACTGGCGATTATCACTGTATGCACTCGCTGTCGAAGACGCCATCTTGGGTGACCGAGCAAGTTTGATGGGCACGCAACAGGCCCAGACCCAGGTCCTATCAGTGGGTTAATAAGCTGACAAAAAATTGATTTTGTTTGTTTGTTTGTTTGTGTGTGTTTTTTTTTTAAATAACATTTATTTGGTCACAACACTTCTAATGACAATACTTACATTTACATGGAGCTACTTAGAAGAGGTTCTATTTATTTTGAACAATTAAGTTAATAGGTTTTAACACTTTTACATGGCATTCATATGCAAGAAAAAGGTGTTAGTAAGTGTTAGAGCTTAGAGGACAAAACGAACCGAAATTGAGTTGATTCCAGCTGCGCGTGGAGGAAATTTGCGAAACCAGAAATATCTTATCACCGAATTCCTTTACAGAGAACCAAAACGATAGTTCGAATGGACTAAATTTTCCTAAGATTGTGTCGAAAGAAATTCTAGTTTAAGGGCAGAAAAGTAAGTGAAATTTGGCTGAAACTGGTTCAACAGAGAACAAAGAACTCAAAAGGTGTTAGGACGCTTGGCCTTAAGCTAGATTTAATGAGGTAGGCAAGACTGGTTATTATTCAGGTTTGGAAGCAAAAGTGAGAACTGATTTCAGCTTAAAACAATCGAACCTCGTGAAAGAAATTGCACATTTTTCCCTTCCACCGCTGAAAACACCTACTAAGCAAAGTAATTATTTCTATCTAATGAACTTGTTTTTTTTTATGTTACCGAAATAAGCTCAAAATGGTGTTTCTTAAAACGAATTGAAACTTTATTGTCAAGGTCAGCTTTAAAATTATACCTACGTTAATATTGAGGGTTAAACCGTACAACTTGCCTTTTCAGAATTATTTGACACCCAAACAGCAGTACAGAATAAAAGGTCGATGCAAAACTCTATGTCGAGAACTCTGATCTTTTCACTGCATTATGCGCCACTTATAATTGAAAAAAAGTGTGCCAATTGTTTAGATACAACTGGAGGCACGTACATCCTGACAAGACAAAGGATAGTTGTATCGTGTAGTGGGTGAATACATTTCTTAACCGACCTGAACAAATTTATATATGTGGATATATATGTTATTCCCAACACCAAAGATATATATAATATATATGTTGATATGGTTAAAATATGATATGTGAGATTAGAACCGACAAGGAAGTTTTGACTATTTCTGTTTGTATTGCGGTAATTCAAAGCCAATGGCACAACAAAAGGTAAGATGCATTCTTCAACCGCAGGAAGTGTTTCTTAGGGACGACTCACTTTATCCCTTGTCAGTCCTTTTCTCAATATTAAATACAGCAAGCGAAATTTTCTTTTAAGGAAGCAAAGCTGAAGTGAGAGATAAATATTAAGTTAAATGTCAAGGCCATTAAAAGACTTCCGAACGAGCGCGTTTGATTGCTTTTGGACTTAGCGATGTTATACAAATTGTTCCTATTCAATCTATTGTTTGAGAATTGATGAAGTCGGTTGGCTTTGACTATCGCCTTGAGACAGCTAATAATTATATGAGTAAATATGTTTGTATATCTTGTAGTTTTAATTTTTTTTGTAATTTTTTTTTTGTAATTATCTTATTCGTTTTTTCAAACCCCTAAAATTTTAACTTGAGTTAATACGATCTATGAATGTGTGGTAAAGCAGCAATAAGCTAAAGGTTAAGATATCTTCAAGGAGGAAAATTATGCAGAGACACTTAATTTTCAGTATCATGGTTTGAGGCTGAACCGGCACTTCCGTTCACGTCTCGCTCTAACGTTTAGTTATCCTCTAGTAAGTTAGAGTGGTCATCATTGCGAACTCGGCTCTACCCAACAGCCCGACACCAATTTATCGGCGGCAATCATTATTTTGAGAGCGAGGAAAAATGAAATAAATAAGAATTTTGATGAACTTAAATTTGGGTTGATATTCTGAAAAATGTGTGTCTACATACTTATACGCGTACCCCTGTTCTTAGCGTCAGCTACATGCACTCATTTTAATCGAATTCCTATTGGATAATATAATTGCCTGTCTAATGAATTTTAGAACCCTCCCAATGACGCTTCTGGAATTTCGCCACAAAGGCTCTAACAAATTAGCCAGTTTATTACTTTGTCCGTTAAGGGATCAGACACCAGTTACACGCTGTCATTCTTTCGTTACAATACATTCCTTGGCTGTGGGGCGTTTGTCTGGATTACTGTCCCAACACTGTGTCATCAACGGTTCCCACAGGGGTGGAGGCGTCTTGAAACCCTGTTTGTGAACTGGACGGTTTCCTTTATCCACCCAGTCAAAGAAATCGTGCAGTGTTGTCCTTGCAGCGTCAGCAAAGGCCCGCTGTCCGTACCACATCTCCCACATTAACAGCCCTAAGCTGTAGATGTCTGCCTTGGAGTCGTACACTTGGGAACGGAACACTTCAGGTGCCGTATAAAGAGGTGTTCCCCTAAAGGTGCCGGTGATGTCTATTTCTGCTTTAGCCAGGCCAACGTCAGCAATCTTCACTGTGTTATCTTCAGACAACTTTAAAGGAACAATGCATTATGTTACAAAAAATAGTGCAATCGTTTAGACAAAAAATGTTCTTTTTTGGTTTGTGACGCCGGCGAGTCGAGTGCAAAATTCCGAGTTCTTTCAACAAGAGTCGAACCTTTGACCTCTGGTTGATAGTCCAGACACTCTACATTAACCCTCGGATGTGTACGCAAATTCATACCCCTACAGTGGTACAAGGGGGGGTGAATGAACCCCCCCCCCCTAGAGTTTTTGATATGTTGCAGTATTTCAAAACGATTGTACCTTCAGTGGAAAGCTTTTGATCTTCTCTACAAGATAAGGTATATTTTATGGGTGGTGGCGCTGCTGGAGGTCCGTGACGTCACCAACAATGGTCGTCATCTCGGCCGCCATCTTGGATTTCACCAAGAATTAGAAATCAGGTTAAAACTGCGAGAAATGGTGTGTTTGACATGAAAAATAACACATAAATAAGCACTTTGCCTGATTTAAGCGATATGACGTCATATCTCGTAACCATAGAAACTGACCATTACTGAACAAGCACCACTCTCTCTATGGAGACGACCTCGAGACCATGAGACCATGAGATAGTGTCCATAACAGCAAGAGTCCGTAGTGATGGGAATTTGTATTGCAATTTAGCTGCTGTCCCTATTATAGGGTTTTCCGAAAAGAAGGTTTCCTTGACAGTCAAGACCACTATTTTGAAAGTTTTACTAGTTGCACGGGAAACGAAGAAATCCGGTATCATTAATTACCTGCGAGACAAGAGAGGATAAAAGGGACAGAGAAGGCATCCCCCATACACACCCTATTCCATAGGTAATTCGTCTCGAGTTATTTTTAGAATCGGGATAAAGTTACCTCGCGCGCTATGTGGATGTTTCGTGGAGGTTTCGTATTTGAAACGCCGTGCAAAACACGTCGGCGAAAGGCAATGAAAGCGTAAAGAGATTGAGAGCATTTCTGAATATTGAGGCGAAATGAGTCGACGCTCACCTGGGAAAAGGGTATCGCTGGACCCTTTGACAACCCGTGAAATCAGTTTAACTCGAAGTTGTCGTAACCTCAGTGCTTTAATAAAATGAGAAATTTCGCCAGTCTATATGAAACCGGTCGTTTGTACAATAAAGCAAGTAGGACGCCAAGTGCTATTTTTGTTGAATAATAAAAGACTAATAAAAGAATAAATATCAAACCAGAAAGTGCTCTCTTCAAACTGTAAATTATAATTGATGCTTAGAGAATATTCAGCGTGTTAAGGATTTCCCTGCTGTACTGTTAGCTCTATACAAGAGAGGAAGGGCGATTCTTTTTTAATTTCCATTTCGCTGACACCGCTTTAGCAGAAATCTCTCTTTAGTCATTTTCGTCGACAAAACGAAGAGCAATATCGCTCTCCGAATCTTTCGCCATTTTTTTCTGCGTCAATTCGTGAATGACGCGTGGCTCTGAGCGTGGGTCATCCACGCGGAACACATTGGCGCTATGTGATTGGCTGTTGTCTAATCCCCCTTGGGATCTGTGGGTCTTAAAAATAACTCGAGATGAATTACCTATGGAATAGGGTGTGTATGGGGGATGCCTTCTCTGTCCCCTTTATCCTCTCTTGTTGCGAGAATATGACCAGAGATGTAGCGAGATTTTAGTGTCATACTAATAGTCTAATAGTTCATAGAACCAAAAAGCACAAACATCGAGCACAACACGGTGCCACAATCATTATCATCATCATCATCGTTATTATTACTGTTAGTATTGCACTATTGCAAATCATTCGCCCACGTTTTCATCGTGCCACAATGACTGCTTAGTTGTAAAAATCTCGATTGCGCTAGAACCGACCTGAAACAAACTAGATTTATAATAATCAGAAATTGCGACATCGCAAAGTGTGGCCCAGATAAGATAACAAAAAGTAAAAAAATGCAAACACGAAAAGCAAATCTTAAGTACAATGATACTAACAAAAGATCTCCTTGACTGTCAAGAAAACTATTTTGGAAGTGTTACTAGTTGCACGGGAAACGAAGAAATCCGGTATCATTTATTACCTGCGAGAATATGACCAGAGATATAGCGAGATTTTAGTGTTTATTACCATGAATAAGCCCCATACAAATATTTCATAGAACCAAAAAACACAAACATCGAGCACAACACGGTGCCACAATCATGATTATCATCGTCGTTATTAATTATTACTGTTAGTATCGCACTATTGCGACAAGTGTTATTAACAAAGTGAGAAAGGTTATTTCATTACAATGTGCGATAATTTTATTACAAGTGCGATAGGTATTACAAAGTGCGGCGATTATTACAAAGTGCGACAGAACAAACAATGGTTCCGGCCGACTGCCTCCCAAATTTTGGCATTCAAATTATTTAAATTTAGAGAGAAGACTTCACTGCAAGATATTTCCCTTGTACCCTAGCGTACACTCCAGTTTGCATACATGATCAAACGACTTTACAATTACAATCACGATAAAATATTCTAGCTTCATACCAAGATGTTTTCCAACTTTAGGTCTCCGTGCACAACTCCCTTTGCATGAATGTAAGCCAACCCATCAATGATCTGTTTTGCCCAGCTGCGTACTTCTTCGACCNTTTTCCAACTTTAGGTCTCCGTGCACAACTCCCTTTGCATGAATGTAAGCCAACCCATCAATGATCTGTTTTGCCCAGCTGCGTACTTCTTCGACCGTAGTAGGATTTTCAGATCTACCAGGCGGTGACTCCAGTTCATTGAAGATGTGGCCCCTTAAGTTTCCTTTGCACTTCTCCATGATAAAGACAATTCTAGAGGTGCTCATGTCGAGAGATATGCCATAAAACTGGACGATGTGAGGGTGCTTTAGAATTCTGACATATTAACAGAAGAAAGAAGTACCCTCAGCTGCTTCAACTTTGTTTAATCTCAGCTAAGGGTACGTTCGATTGATCGCATTCCGGAATAAGAATAAGCAAAAGCAAGTTATAAATCTCTTCCACCGTGAGTTTTAGACCATGCATTTCAACTCTACGTACATTGGAATATTTTATTTCAGGCAAATTTCTAGCCTCCCCGACAACGTCCTTTGGGGTTCGTTTCTTACGTATTCATTTCTCCTCCGCGAAATAAATGCCAAAACAAGTGGTTTCTACAATTTATTCCAATTATTCTTATTCCGGAATAAGGACAATCGAACTCGTCCTGAGTTTGCCTTTTAAACTAACAGGAATTCAAATACAATACAAAAATGATTTATATCGCTTTTTTCATCGCAGTGTTGCCAAGTGCGCCATGTAATCTGTTTTGAAAACTAAGACATCTTCACCTTATTTGTTCACTGTCATTCAGAGCAAACCGTATCAATGGAGAATCTTACACCCGTTTAAATAATGTATCCGGTATATTATGGCCAAATGGATAGCTCATTGACATAAAATAATAGGGCACTTCCGAGTTCCCAAAAAACCCTCACTTTCAAAATGAGGCTAGGTGCACAACCTTTCTTGTGAAAATGAGTTTTGAGAGTGAAGAATGACAGTTCAAAAATGAATTATTTCATATACTTCACATCAAAATGAGTTTTATTTGCATGAGAATGAAAAATGATTTCCATATCAAAGGCTGAGCACCTACCCTCGTTTTGAAACAGAGGCTCGGGGAACTCGGAAATGGCCTATTGGCTAGGTTGATTCGCCTTCGAAATGGGAAGACCAGGCAAGATACCTAGCGGGATGGCCAACACTTGGGTCTTAAAATAGCGGAGAAACCGAGCGGTACTGCCTGCTACTGTGATCGGTAGTTAGACGTTCTATAGCTATCTTCATAAAGGGCCTTTCTCACAACGCACTCATAATCTAATCATGACTTTGTGCAACCTGCAAGAACGTCTAGAGACGTAACAAAAGAAAACGTTTTAACTTGCCTTAAAATTTTCATCTCCTGCATAATTTCGCTGGCATTATTGGCGTTGAGTGCCTCATTGCACACCTTCAAAGCCACAGTCTCAACTTCGCCGTATCTTCTCATTGTTCCTTGATAAACTGCACTGAATGACCCACTGCCAAGGAGGGATGACATTTCTTCTTTCCATTCTAACTCTTCGTGGTTGATTTTGACTGTACAAACATCTTTTATACCAAATAGTGCTAGTTGATCTCTCCTTTGTGACCCTTCATCCAATATCCTCTGGTAGCGATCTTTGTTTTCCTCTTGGGAATGAGTTTGCTGCGTAAGGTTAACTAACAGTTGCCTATACAGCTCTGAATATAGTTCTCTGTCCGCCTCTATCAGCGCTGGAAGACGAACTTTAATTTGACCAAGACAGTCCTTAACATCGTGTAATTTGCCCTCCACAAACTTTCTAAGTTGCCTCTTCTCTCTTCTAGAGGAGAGAAACTTTACTGAAGCTTGAGTGATAAGATCCTTAAAGTCAATTTTGGAAACCCCTCTCAGAGAGTCACACAACTCAGTAATAAACTTGACATCCACTAAGTCGGCAACTAAGTGAAACACCTCGAAGGTAAGAATTCGCATCTTTATGCTCGCCTTTCTGGAGATGGAAAACCGAAACTTTTTTGAATTCCTAACACCAGGATGTAAGTCTCCGGTGGCTTCGCATAGGAGATTCCTTCTCTGAAATTCAGCTTCATCGAAGCAATTCTTAAACTTTTCCACGAGAGAAAGGCGAGCATTTGCAAACAAATTGTGTTCTTCCTCCCATTGCACTACAAACTCTTCAAAACGGCTAGACAGTAGAGTGGCTATTTTCTCTTCCACTTCCGGAGTCAAAGCCGATATATACTGATCTGGAAATTCGTTCCCCGACCATAATGCAAAGCGCGACGTTACGGCTGCAGAAGAAAGGAATTCTGAGAGTCGGTACAAAACATTGTTGACTTGTTCGTCGAAAGATTGCTGCAGGTCCTTTATCACTTTTCCTTGACCTTTTACCATTGCCTCTAACCGGTTAATAATCTCCTCCTTTCTCTGGTTGATGTCCTCTTTGGTTCTAGAAGCATTTACCAAAAACGTTTTTGCCTGAACGACAATCCTTGAAAGAAGTTTGTGAAGCCAACTAAAACAAGAAAGCACGGTTATTTGTTTGTGGCAAGAAATAATCACAAGGATAAAAGATGACACCTTAGAGGAAAGATATAGACGGCACTGTTAACCACCTTTTACAATATATCAAAGGCATAAGAAAAAGGGGCCTTTACCACCTGAAACCCGGATGCTGCAAAAGGCGATGTTTACCCAGCACCCACCCTTATTTAAACTCTTTCAAGTAAACTAAAGTAGATTTCAGAGTCAGACTCCTATCAAATTCTCCCGAAAATAAAGGGAATTTGAGAATTTAATGAACATTGTATGAGAAAATGCAAATAACACGATGCGCGTTTCTCCCAGCACCCCAAGCACACAACATCTAGTAGTCTTCGCTATATGGTTATAGTCCTACTGACCTTATTTCATCTAAAGAATAAAAAAGATTGAAATGTACTTTTTGTGCATTTAAGGGCCTGAACTTATTGGCAGAACACCGTCCTCTGAACTGACCATGAAGGATTAGTTTTTTAGTCTCCTACCCTTTCCTGACAGGCATCAGCTTACCCGAATAACAAAATCGAACGAGGAGGTAAAAGAAACAATATGTATTTATAAAGGAGCTCCACAAGCGAGAGGGGCTTCATAAGAAAATTTGGTTATCTATCCATCCTAGAAATTTTGGTAATCACGCGACCGTACGTCCGCCCGTCCTAGAACCATTGTGAATGTCACACTTTCTAGCTAGTATAGGAGCCTGCAACCTTATATTGCACATCCATATTATGGTCAATTGACGGCTCGCAAAACAGGGTATCTGCTGATCAGTATCACGTGACCGTATCGCAGGCTCAGATGTCGACCCATCGAGGCTACTTGTTTTTTAAGTTCTCCGCTGATAAGTTAGTAGTTTTCAACTGATAGCAGGCTCAACTCCAACATCTTCAAGTCTATTGTTTGAAGTAAATTATAAATTTATTAACGGGAGCCTTAAGCTTTGGCTAAATTTATATGTCGGATTAATGCTTACTTCCAATGAAGTTCCAACTTAGCTTCAATGGTCGTCATGATCACCGACCTCATTCCATCCATTAATAAGGAAAATTCATTGCTGATAACATCAAGGTTTTGAGCAAGAGTAGCGTTAGTGGTTGACATGTAGGTGACTTGAGATTCGGGATCAATGCCAGGCCAGATTTTTCTCAGTTTTTTTATACCACCATCCTTGACCGATTGAATTTCTTTCTCTGGCACTGAATCCCACTTGTTAAACACAAACAAAGCGCATTTGGATAAGAGATCTTCCTCCATGTCGTGCATCAATCCACCTTCTTCTCCTCCTTGATTTGGAACCCCGACTGACACTTTCCTCGCCTTTTGCAGCAGCTTTACAAGCTGTAATGCAAAAATGATGTCAAAAAGGTCACTTCTTAAAGGAACAGTGTCCCGTTACTGCGCATGCACCAAACTTTGATTTTTGGACAGGATGTCGCGAAATCAAAAGATGCGAGGAGAGTGAGAGAACCTTGAAAAATCCGTTTGCATCGCGCTTGGCCGGGTTCAATACGACACTATATATATAGCTTCTCAGGATTATAGATCAATGATATATTGTTCCTGTTAAGTTTCGATTTGGGCAAAATCTGGATTTTTTGGCGTTACTTTTATTGCCGTTGGCCGGAGGACCAAAAGATTGGAAGCACTTTGGTGCCGACTGAAGGCTTATTTCTTCTGCTAGCTTTCATACAAGCTCAGATAATTGTGAAAGGAATACGCAGAAATGAAACAGCAACAATTAAGACTGTAAGAAAGAAACCATTGAGACATTGATGTGACTGAGGAGATTTTGTGGAGGGAAGCTTCGTGAAGCAGAATGTTTTGCCACGACGCGTTAGTAAACTTTTAAATGAATCTCCCTACGGCCGACAAAATCAAACAAACAGGCGCTACATGTTTAGTAAAACTAGTGCCATGAAATCATAATATAATATTTGACCAACCTTTGTGATTATTCATAGCGTTTAGATTGCATTTTTATTTATGTCTTTCAAACGTTTGAGGCTAGAACGTGAGCAAATCAGGCAGATATTACTGGACTTGGAACAATTGACCTCCGACACAAGTTTCAAATTAGAAAATATGTTTTTAAAGCAAGCGGGACGAGATTTTCGGGTCGCCAGGCGGCCCAGCTGGCGATAAAATCGCGATGAGTCTTCGAACCGCGAGCCAAATTTTTATATAAGACAAAAGACTTCTTCGAAATTCTACCATATTACTTGAGAATATAAACAACAAATTTCCGTCGGCGGCGTGGTCCGGAAGGAAATCTTGTCGAGTCAATATGACAGTTCTATTATCTTTTGAAGAAAAAACAGATGACGCTCCCGCGTGCGCATAATCGGGACACTGTCCCTTTAAGCCTTTTGCTGATGTAAAGTTTTTGTTACTGCACTGATGTAACATAAAGGAGCACAAGTAAATAGAGACAATTTTAGCAGCACTTTGTCTTGACAAACGTTAACCGTCTTTGTGCCAAAGGTTCATTGTGATGGGAAAACTACTTTAATTTGTAGCTCTAAAGTGATGGATTTTCCATTCACTGAAAAATCCGCACATTTTTAAACTGCAGAACAAGAGCACCACTGCTGAATTAGTCGGACCAAAACGGTACTGCTGTCAAAATGGCTGCTTGGAAACGACATGGCGTTCATTTCATGAGAGAGCGATTAAGGCCTCTTTTCTTTTTTCAGTCATCACTTCTCCGTAATGCATATACATGTAATGTAATGTCGTCGATTAGAGGCCAACAGTAAGCTCGGACGTCAGCATACAAATGCGCCACTAGCTGGCAGACGCTATCAGTCCATTTATGAGCTCACTGTAACGCACCCACAGCCCATGATATGAATGATACGTGATACATGAAAGGTAGACCGCAGGGCGTTGTCGAACGGAAAAATTTATCTAGTCCCAAGTCAGAACTTTAAACGATAATTTGAATAGATATGAGGCGCGTGTGCCTCTTCCCCTCCTCCCATCCCCTGGACAATTCCTCTAACGAATGCATGCGCCATTTCGAGAGAAACTGATCAAAATACTCACTCTGTCTTTTTGAACTCCACCAGCGTTTGCACTGTTAATGACATAGATAAAAGCAAACGCTTTAGGTAGATACTGAATTACCATCTCATCCATCTCGTCAGTTTCTCCAACACCAGGGCTGTCAATGATAGTTAAACCTGTCTGTGATAAGTAATTAATCAAGATAATCAAATACACCAAAAATTACAATTATAACTGCCCCACATTCCAATCTGTAGGGATTAGAAAATAGGGAGAATAGAGTTAAGGGAGTACGACCGACGAGGAAGTGATTTTTGTGTGATCGCTTTTCAGCAAGGATCATCTGAAAGCAGGTTGAGTGAACGTAGTCCTGAAGAAGATTGTTGTTCTTGACAGTCAGTGACTGACGTTTCGACAACCAGTGCGGTAATCATCTTCAGAGCCATAGTGTGTTGTAACACGTCAATTGATGGTGTTGAAAATTGGCAATTTGTAACCCATCCAAAATAATTTCTTGAAACCCACATTTCCAGGAAATCTCAAAATTTCGATAGTAAAAATATTGATTATTATACTTTCCAAAAAAAATTCCCGAACGCTACTATCAGAATTTAAAGCATTCTTCGCGCGCCTGGCGACGATGGGAAGGCTAAGGAGAAAAGTGGCTCCCGCCTGTTTGTTCTTCCTATCGTCTCTCGCGCGCTTACCATTTTCCCTGTGTGGACGGGAGAGCACATTGTCGCAAAATATTGAGAATTCTCGGATGAAGTAGCCTAATCTGTCTGAACAGTAACTGAAATTGTCCCTGAGAATTTCCAGAAATACGTAAAAAAAATAAATATTTATATATATATATATATATATATTTACGTTAGTGTCCTTGATTCACCACTATTATAGAACAAAAAGAACTGAAACTACTCTGGAACTATCAGTCTACGTATAAACGTTTGCGACTAAATGAGGTCGATGTACCTCCAAAAGGCTGTGCGGCCAAAAAAGCTCGACCTTTTTGACATCTGAACCTTTTCCAGTCTTCTCATGAACAAATGATGAGATCTGTTCAAGGTAGCTTTTATCAGAACATCCTGTTGGCTGCACAAGTGATTTTTTTTCAGGATCGTTGTCTTTAAAGTGCACCACCAGCCTGCGTTCCTCTCCAAACTTCAGTTCACATATGGTCGATGTTGTGCTTTGATGGGAATAGGGTAGAATCTCCTCTCCAAGGATAAGATTGATCAAGCTGCTTTTACCAGAAGACGTTTCACCTGTAAATAAACCAATACGAACGGTGCGTTCAATTGGGAATTCCTTTTAATTCTGATTTACCATTCAACCAGGGAGTTTTCCATTTGTTAGAACATACCGACCAGACCAGTTTGTCGGAGAGTATTCCACTGACAAATCACGACTACCTATCCGTGAAACTCAGATTTTTCTTCCGGATTTTTTCTCTCCGCAATTATCAAGAAAACACTTGTTGGTTAAGTTAGTTTCTCTCATTAAAACATCACGGATCATAATTAAAAGTTGAAATTAAGTTAATGCTTTTTTGTGCGGTTTGCCATTTACCTGCAAAAAGAAGATAGTACTCCTCATTCAGTTGCTTGATGTGTAGTTTCGTATTCTCCTTCACATTAGGAATGTGCTTTTGAAGTAAGGTTATCATCCGTTCATGCATTTTATCCAAAATGGTCTCGGCTGTAGTATAAAACTCAATTAATTCAGATCTTCTTCTGACATCTTCTCCTCTAGCCTNAGTACTCCTCATTCAGTTGCTTGATGTGTAGTTTCGTATTCTCCTTCACATTAGGAATGTGCTTTTGAAGTAAGGTTATCATCCGTTCATGCATTTTATCCAAAATGGTCTCGGCTGTAGTATAAAACTCAATTAATTCAGATCTTCTTCTGACATCTTCTCCTCTAGCCTCAGATAAAACGGAAAAGGCCTAAAAATAGTAAAAATTGTAAAGGCAGACGGGAGAGTATGTGAGTGGATTGCACTCTGGTCGTAATTAAAAGCAAGCAATCAGAGAACACCTAATTATTGGGCTGCCTATGGCATGAGTGTAATTTTTTTAGGAGCCTGGTCTGCCAACGGGTATGGAATTTTAAGGCCAGGTCTGAAAACAGGTTTGGAAAATGGCATTCTGAAAAAATTAGTCTGAAGTAGGGTCGAGATTTGGAGAACCAGGCGGCACATCCCCCACCGACAACGACAACAAAAAGCTTTATTTGCAGGACCATAGAAGTACATACAGTATTACAAAAGCTATTTATATTTATGTTTTAAGAAAAAAGAACTAAAATATAATCACTGGCCAATTAAACTAATTTGTTAATAATTCGTCGCGAAAGTCAAAGCAAGCTGAAATATATTCAAGTTCAGCTTTACAAGCAAGAGATGTTTTTAGTTTGCTGAGATTCGTATGTGGTGTCAAGCTAAAGAGGGAATGAGGAGCTTTTTCTTTGAGATGTTCACGTGACACTGAGAAACTTCCTGATGAGAAGATTCGAGTTCCTTGATAAGTGTAGTCTTGCACAAGATCAATAATTTGACCATCTATCAGAAAGCGAAAATCAGCATTTTTCCTGGCACGTTTCTGAAAGACCATAATCTTAGTTTTCTTGAGATTGATTTTCATCATCCACGAACTAAAGTAGGAAGACAACTTATCAAGGCAATTTTGTAATCCTGTTCCGGATTGTGATTAAATCGTCTGCATAAAAAAGAGAATAAAATTTTGCACCGTTTGGCAAAACAAAATAATCAGATAACGTATTTTCAAATGGAAGGTAGGTCGTTTATATAAAGATTAAAAAGGAGAGGACTTAAGATACAGCCTTGCCGCACACACAACTTACTCCTCCCCCCAGAGTCAAAAGATATTCCGAATTCCAGAGGGAGAGAGATAATGCCATTTCATTTGCTGACTGATACCGACAAAAAGGCCCAAATTGACGTTTCTAATTAAACACTTAAGTATGCAAGAAAAGTTCTTTTCGAGGAAGGGTCTCCGGATATATGAGTTCTCCATTGGCGCTGGAAGGCGGATGGTATTGCATTAATGTTTGAAGTACCTAGAGGTTATTATTGATTATGGATCCGCGTTCGTCACTAATACGGAAAAATCACAGCAAATCGAGTCGAAAGGAGTCCAGTTTCCCGGCCCCAGATAAAATCAATAGGGGCTGCTAATTGGCAGTCACCCGTGATAGCTCGAAAATTTCTGCCTTAGAGCGCGACACTGAACACCAGATTAGGATGCGTTCTGACGAACGCGACTAGTTTTGTCCCTGGGTGATGATATTATTTAATAAAAGCAATCCTTTATACGTTTCTTGGAAACATTTCTTTAAACAATAGTATTGTAAAATTGCTGACGCCTAATTGAATCTAAAGCAGAAGAACAAAGCAAATTTGAATTTCTAACAGAGAAAGTCACAATTCTAAGACGCTTAATGAAACCGATGAACAACCTAGAGAAAGCAAAGTTTGGTCAAAGAGAATTTAACATGAAGCACATGCTTATTGTTCAACGTTTAGCATTTGCATGAACAGGGGCCACGAGGAATTGGTAGGTAATGATGACGTTTCTATTGTTTGCGCCCGCAAGTACGAAATGGTTAGGATGACGTAAAGACAGAACATCCCCAAGGGACCGTTTAGGTAGATTTTGTAACATTTATTGTGCAGTCATACTTCGACACTCTTTTGCGTCAGTTATCAGTGACATTCTGTGGAGCAGTTGTTTCAGTGAAAGTTATAAACCGAAATTTTAACGACACTCGTTAAGCGCAGAAGAAGTTATAAGGTGCGTATAACTGTGTATATATAAACACTTGGAGAGTTTTCCAGACACGAGTTCACAAATCTTTCATTGCAAAACTTGCCAGACACTCTTTGTCTCTCTTTGACCGGAATAAGACTCAGCCCCAAACAAGCAAGACGAGTGAACAACGGCTAGCCTCTCACTAGCAGAACGATGGACGGTTACAGAAATTCGCCGACAATCAAATTCTGTGCTGACTTATTCCCTGCTCACAGATGTCCTTCCGTTACAAAGTTTAAAATAAGACGAGAATGCGCGATTGTGAATTGATCAAACGTCCTTGTAATTTCTACCGCTTCCTTTTCGGCAAATAAAATGAACTGAATGTAAAAAGTAAAAGAGAAATAGCGAAAAATTCAACTTCTCATTAAATCTTTTCTTATGGTTTAGAATAAACTATTCTCGAAACTGAGAATGTTTTGATCAAAGCTGTGTAAATCTACCTGAAACTGTGCATAGAACCTTGCGTTTCCTGTATTTATCTCACCTATTGTATGGAATATGTGTGAAAATCTTCCTTATGAATCGGTATATTTCAAAGAGCTACGCAACGAGCAAGAATGCTATTGACCGACAATATACAGAGCGGGGGCAGCTGTAATGTCAACTATTACTAGTTATTATTGTGTGATGGTGGGTGGGGTTAAAATCGTTTAATTTATGCACTGGTGGTTTGGGTAAAACGAAATATGAATAGTAAGATAATTTTACAGCTTAGAAGAGTTCGTATCAGGCAACTTAATAAGTTTGTAAATCACAATAATACGGCCTGCTGTTTCAGTAACCAGCTTTTCTTAGCTGTTTAAGATAAAAGCAGTAGCTTTCAGTTTGTAGTCCGATTTTAAAGAACGAATGTTTATCACGCCTTTAATTCGCCAATAGCCTGCGAGCAAGCTCTCCATTTGAGGGATACCGTGAAATCAAGAGAGGATAATCTTTATACTCTCTTGTGAAAAGTAGTGCCACAGAGACACCAGATAAGGATATGCGTTCTGACGAACGCGACTAGTTTTGTCCCTGAGTGATGATATTATATTCAGTAATAAAAACAACACTTAATACGTTTCTCCGAAAAATTGTTTTTAAACAATAATAGTTTAAAATTGCTCACGCCTGATTGAATCTAAAATGAAGAACAAAGCAAATCTGAATTTCTAACAGAGAAAGTCCCAATTCTAAGACGCTTAGTAAAACCGATGAACAACTTAGACAAAGCAAAGTTTGGTCAAAGAGAATTTAGCAAGAAGTACAAGCTTATTCTTTAACATTCAGTATAAACAACCGGAGTAGCCTGCGTAGCAGGTGTCGCAACAAATTGAATTCCTTGTACCTCTTACTGTTCAAAGGCAGGTGAAATGACCTTTTTTGTATATGTTGAGGACCTTCAAAAGAATCTTAATGACGTTGTCTATTCCAAACAAAAGATGCACACCAAGCGTTATCTTAATCGGCAATAAATATGCAAAAAACGTTAACGCGGTCCCAAACTCGAGCCTGCGGCTAGTCAGGTTGATATTCCGAGAAAATAAAATAGAGCTTTTATGGAGTGCTGTAAACGCACGCATATAAATCTAAGGCACAGTTCATACGTCGTGCTTCTGTCTTGCCGAACTCTATTGTAATTAATTGCATGTGCTCAACAGAAACAAGAGTTGGTACGAGTTCAATGCAGACTTCGTGCCAGATTGGAACTTAATATATAATTATGTAGGCACTAGTATCAAGTCAGTGGTAGCTGAAGAAAAAGTAAAAATACAATGATATCCGAAAAAACATTTCCAAAATTTATGAATTTATTTAGACATGGCATAACTGATCACGAGGTTTGAATAACTACCATACCATGCGGATTCATATAGCACGACAGACATCGTCAAACTTACTTTGCTTTGCCAAACGAAATCAACGTCGAGCTTTTGTCGAACTTAATTCATGTATTTAAATTCAAGAGTTAAAAGCACCAAGCATGAAACGGGTGTAACCTTAACGGAGAAAATGAAATTTTTTGGGGCCGCGCATAAATGAAATAAATGAAATAAAAACTGTTATTTACAGCCAGTCAGTCCTTAGGTCTTTGACAATAACGGTTTAACGTCGCATAGCCTCCATCATAGCGATCACGAAATGTCGCTCCCCTTGAAGGACATTCATGAACCCCGGCCAAACTCGTTAAGGTACTGAAACCTTCATTTACAATGAAATACCTTACCTTTCCGGGTGACCAGTTCGACACCTTTTCGGCCGCGTTTAACGTGGATCTTATTCGACACCTCGCGTCGCTTAGGTTCTCCACCCCTTCGTCTGATAAACCAAGAACCTCCAAAACTTCAGTCAGTTCCTTCATTTTCATTTCATCGAGACTTTTCGCTTTGCCAGTGGCCATTTCGCATAACCTTCTAGCCGGCGGTGTTAGCTACAAGCGAAGTTATTTAAAGAACTTTGTCAGTGCTACGCTGCTAGATCAGTATGTCCCAATAAACGGTATTATTATTCATTCCAAATATTTCCTCAATTCTGATTGGCTAAAAGCACACTCATAATTCACCATTCACGTTTTTCGTTCTCAAAACTAAAATGGCGGACACATCACTCGTTTCAAGGGTAAGAACTACAGCTGGAACTAGGCGAAATAATGGCTAAAAACAGCAAAAACAGCAAGTCGGACAACTCGGAGGGCGACATCTGCTATTGGAGAATATTTCCGGAGCTGGACAAACCGACCTAAACGTAAACTATCGAAGAAAAACTTAATATCGATGCAGGTAAGCTTGTTTTAGTTATGTTTTTTAACTAGGAATTATTTTGAATGAAAAATAAAACAATTATTGAATTCGGCTTTCGTATCATATGAAGAATTATGGAGATCTCGGAGGGTGTTATCCGCCTCGGCTTACGGCCTCGACGGATAACACCCTCCTCGATGTCCATAATTCTTCATATGATACTCAGCCTCATTCATTAATAGTTAAAAGTCCATTCCAATGTGGTGCACGGAAACATCAAGGAGGCTACAAATTCCTAGAAAAATCTAATTATTACTTTGTGATGGTGGGTGGGGTCAAAATCGTTCAATTTATGCACTGGTGGTTTGGGTAAACTGGTGGTTTGCCTTTCATTCGCCAATAGCCTGCGAACAAGCTCTCCATTTGGGGGATATTTTGAACGTTTTAAATCTTTACTTAAAACGCATCTTTTTAGACTAGCTTTTGATATGTAATGTTTTTAACCTACTATGTAATAGATTTAGTGTCACGCACTTTTGATCATATTTGTATGGAAAAGGCGCGTTATAAATTTTTAATTATATTTATAATATATATATATATTTTTTATATAAATATAGGAAATAGGAAAAAAACTCGCTTTCATCCCGACAAGCCTGTTTCGTGATCGCTCACTCTTCAGGGGATTTAATGATAAGAACATTCATAACCATCGGCTATATACTTTTAGATTACATCGTTGGGGAAAATTTAAATTTAAATGTTTAGTTGTAACGTAGCAACGCTTTGTTTCTGTGGCGGCAAGAAGATACAAGCTCGTTACGTTTGTTAAGTGATGATAGATCGGGACGACACATGATTAAAAATTTCGCTTTGAGGCAAAGGTTACATCTTTTACTTGAACTGTTGTAGGATGAGCTAGATGAAATGATACGCCATGAAATAGGATAACAAACGTAACGAGCTTGTATCTTCTTGCCGCCACAGAAACAAAGCGTTGCTATGTAACAACTAAACATTTAAATTTAAATTTACCACAAAATACAAATAACGATAAAACAAGACAGTTACACAAAAGCAAATGAAAGTGGCGAGGAAGCCCAAAAAGAAACCCTGAGGCCTATAGACATTGGGCTCCCTCAGAGTAAAAATAAAGTTAACAGTAACAGTAAGGCCAGGATCGAAAGTAAAATACAATGAAGGTAAGTATAAATTAACTAATTACATAGACTGAGTTGACAAAATATAAAGTATGGTATATGTAACAATACAGGGACCGCGGAGGGGGAGGGGCTGGTAGGGCCGCGGCCCCACCACTTTTTTGCGTCCCCGCCCCCACGTTTTGCGCTAAAAAGAAAAATAATTAAAATTAAAAAAAGACTTGAAACAAGTTTTTTTCCGTCTATATTCTGCTATATTCTCTGTATTTTCTTTAATTTCAAACGCCAGGTACTGTGCTTTTCGCGGTAATTGTGCCCTGGGGCCAACCATAGACTTGCCCCTTGATCAAACGCCACGCCTTGGCCACCCCTTCGCTTTGTTCGGCAGCGTGTTTTGTACTTCCAGTTCCGGCAGAGTTTTTTATCAGTTTTATCAGACGAAATGAAGAAACTTACTAGCTTTTACAAGCCAAACGAAGGTGAGTAATTGTTTTGAGTTGATAAAAGTTTTATATTTTGTCCTTCTCCTTTCGAATCAATGAAATATTCGATGGCAAGAAGAATTACATGACTTGAACAGTGAACGGCTATAGTTAGAAATTTTTCAGATCACTTCAGTGTAGTATTTTCTATACTAAAATTGTAATCGCGTCTTTTCTTGCATTGAATCTGAGAGACATGGCTGAGATCGAACATGAAACAGCAGCGATTAAGCAACTTGACAGTACTTAATTGTCATAAGAAATTAACGGAAAGCTTGGACGTGATTCAGATCGCAAACACATTTGCTGGACGGAATGAAAATCGTATGAAGAATTTCGGTATCTTCACTAATGCCGACCTATAAAGAGCAACAAATACTGGATAAAGTATGCAAAGTCACGCGACAGAAACAAATCAAATGCTATGATTTTATTCCTTTTTTTGATTTTCAATATGAAAAAAATTATTTTCAATTGTCAGCCCTCCCACTTTTCACCTTGCTCCGCGGTCCCTGCAATAAGTATAAAAATAATATCAGACATGTGAAGAAAGATAACTATTTACTACAAGATTTATAAGTAATAATTCGTATATAATTTTTTCTTCAATTTCGTTTTGAATAAGTGGAGAGAATTAGATTCTTTAATATCATTTTCTATAGAGTTATAATAAGTAGGTCCTAAAGGAAACTGACAGAAAATTTACGAAGGCTATAGGTTATAGCCCACTAGTAGCGAAAAGCGCCAGCTTTTGGGGGGCAAAAAAGGATTAAAGTCTAGCTTTAAGTAGCTAAAATTTTGTTATTCTCGATATTTTTGACCAACTATTTGGATTTTACTAAAACAGATATTCCTCTTGCCCTTATGGCCTCTGAGTCAATAGCCCGTTCGGCCTTCGGCCTCATGGGCTATTTACTCCGAGCCCATTCGGGCTCGAGGAATAAAATACTCTCTTGTGAAAAGTAGGCAATTAGACAAGTTTTGATGGACATCCGAACGGCTCAGTCAAATTACCGACGTTGAACCCTCTTTAAAAAATGATAACAATAAAATAATAATAAAAAAACTATAGTTGAAGTTAAGATTCTTTCGTGTACTTGCTGAATGGTAGGTCATTTATCCATCTGAAATAACATTTCATTTCAAATTCTTTCCCAGAGCATTGCACCTGTTCCTAGTGATAAAGTTGCCGATTGGATCAGCACTAGGCGTGCATAAAAAGCAGGATTGAAGTTAACTGAAGCTTTCAGAGTAGATCCTCTTCAAAAAGCCGCTCAGATACATTCCGCGCTGACCCTTGCAAGTGTTTTAAGTAAGAGTTTTTTTTTTCAAATCTTCTGGGTTATAAATAAATTGCAACCAACGACGACAACTGATTCAATTCGCACTAAAATGAAAAATATGTCAACTACCGTGAGATCCAACAACAGCAACAACCTAACTACACTTTCATCACCGGCGCATATGTATTTCCCGTCTCGAGCGGAAGAAATAGTAGTTTGCAGCGCTCTTTTGTTTGAAGCTCTCCTCATTTTCACGGGGAACTTGGTCGCAATTGTTTTCTTCGCACTAAAGACGGAGCTCCGAAAGCGGAAAAGCTTGTTTCTGGTTATAAACATGGCGTTCGCGGATGTAATGTTAGGAGCTGTATCCGTTCCTTTGTTTGTTTATTTAAAGGTCGGTTTTCAGCTATGGAGTATCACACAAGAGGGTTGGGGTAGTGTTGGACTACTTTTACCTTCACTTCGATATCATTTTCTTGCAGGCTTCGTTAATTTCCGCAGTTTTGTATATCTTGTGAAAGATTTTACGCCGTCTATCGGCCACTAAAACACCGTACATTGTCAACAAGGGCATACGCCATTGTTATAAGTGTAATCTGGACACTTGCTATTGTTGCCAGCGCGATGTAGTTTATTCTTGCAAACTTAATTTCAGTCATAGCAGCTTGTTATCTTTCTGCAATATTATTTTCGATTTTTTTCTTCATCATATGTGTCTGTAACTTTTGTATTTGGAGAAAATGTAAAATGAGAACCATCTCCTCTCACCAACAAAACAGAACCGTCCTGTGTGGCTGTAACATTGGTATTTGGAGAAAGTTTCAACATAGAGACGGCGCTTTTCTACAACACAATAGAGTCTCACAAAACAAACGCCTAACAAAAACCTTACTTTTTGTATCTGCCGTCGCTGTGTTGTGCTGGCTTCCATATGTAATTGTCGACTGCTTAACTGAGGTACTCGAAGTCCCTGTACCTAGAAAGGTTTATTTAAGCAATAGACCACACTTTCTATGGGTTTACCGGCGTGATAACCCACGCGGGATGTTGGGAGAACACGAGAAAAGCTTGTAAATCACGAGCCGAAGGCGAGTGATTTACAAGCTTTTCGAGTGTTCTCCCAACATCTCAAGTGGGTTATCACGCCGGTAAACCCATAGAAAGTGTGGTCTATTGCTTTCATAAAATAACTTTTAGTAGAATGGAGTCTTTTAGGTAAAAAAATATGCTTTTAGTACCGTGATCAAGTCATGTCTTCTCTGTAAAGTCATCATAAGCCAATCATGACTCACGACTTAATAGCGCTGAACTTTCTCAAAACTCAGTTCAGTCAAACAACAAACAACAGCACTTCAAAACACGAGTTTTTGCGCTCATTACATGATAACTTATGAAAGCTGTTTTACAGGAAAAGTCAACACATATTCATGCGAACGTACAATGAAAGAATACGTTCATGGTTTGTTTACTACAGAAGTAGAAATTAATTGAACATCAGACTGTACGCAGCTATATTTTGTTGAGTCGATCCGTAAAAATTTCGTGCTTACAGACGGAACTGGCAGCTATTGCAATGGAGGACTTCATTCACTTTTTACGAGCCTCAGTGGTTTAAGATCTGTTTTCTGGACTTTATTATGATCAAGAAATGCTGCGGTAACGACATGGCTGCATTTGCGAAGTTGTCGCATTAACTTTATATGCACGGACAGCGACCGATGGAAATATGTCAGTGTTGAAGAAAGGTTTCTTTGCCGTAGCCACATATTGGCGCTAATATTTGTCGATTTGTGAAGTCAGGTGGTTTGAGGTAGGTTATGGCATCGATATCGCCGAATAATTTGTGCAAATGTTGGAAAAAAACAAGCCCGAAACACTGACATCTTTCATCATCGTTGGCAGCTTGTTTACAACCTACAGCGGCCGATTTTGTACCATATCTTGATCAGAGATCTCTTTTTGGAACAATGTCTTTCATTAAGGAATATAATTTTGACATAAAATAAATCAAGAATGCTAAAACTATCCGTTTTGTTGCTGGTTGGCACATGGTTAAGTTTTCCTAGAGACTTTCTACACCAGAAATTCACACAGTTGTTGTCTTTCTCTGTGATTTGGCATCGTCGTGAAATGTAAACTGCTTTCCAGCTTTGTACTTTATACCTTCTAAAGCTATGGCTTTCGCGAATTGTGACCCTCAGTAATAAAATGTGGAAACCAACGCTTTTAATATTAAGAAGGGCTACGGTAAGTAACTTGTTCTGTTTTTTAGCCTTTCTAAAATCGTTGTTTGCAGATCAATATAGTGGGTTTTGTTTATGGCTCGTGGTCCGGATGCCTTTTTCTATGGGTTTACCGGTATAATAAACCATAGGTTTTTGACCAATCAGATCACGCGTACTATCTCAGTTATTTTATGATATGCCGTAATCATGCTAAATTATTCCAACTCTTTGTTCAATCCAATAATCTATGCATCATAGGTAATCTTTGGTTACATGTTGTCCAATAAGACGGTCGGGCTGTCGATCGGACGAACGTAGAAAGGGAAAATAACTGGACTAATGTTAGGCTAAGAGGTTCGACGTCACTTTCGGTAGCGGATCCCAGTCACCTACACTTGGCGTTTAAAAATGAGTTTTTAGAGACAAAGTTGTGATCAACACTCTCACGATTATCAGAAGATAGTTTATTAATTTAATCCTTAAAGCCCCTGCCAATAATTCTCACATAAAAATTCCCTAGACTATAGCTAATCTCTATACATTTCCTTAAAGAATTAGTTGAGAGAATTTGATAAAAGATCCAAAGCGTTGTCCCTATACTGATCATATTATTAATTCTCCTTACCTTGTCTCGTGGTTACGTATAGACATTTTTAGGAGATAATTGATGTTGGCCACTCTTAAAAGGTTAAAGTTGCAGAAAAAAAGACTTGCGGAGGCTTCGCTTTTAGGCTTGGCTAAATCTATATCTCAGTTCTTCAGTAAATGTAATGTACATCAACATTTTAGAAGGTTTCACAAACAGATCAATTTTCTGCGTTTCTAGTGTGTGGACAAATTAGCCTTAGCTTTGACCTGATTCTTCTAAGAAACCTTCCTGTTCATCAGTAAATTGATCGATTTTAACTCCACCCACCCCCACTTACCCCTAGGTCACACTCGCGCTAGAATCGTTTGATCGACCAAACTTGGCATTGCTTGCTTTCTTAATAACAAAGGTGGAGTTGCTTAAACTTCAAAAGAACCGCAAAAGGACCTTTAACCTTCAAAGGAACCGAGTGCTCTTGAGCTAAGCTAGATAAACAATTCACCAATCAGGACAAGCACTGTTTGACTGCTTGATATTTCCTTTATTTGGGGGCATTAACAAGCGCTCGAGGACTCCGTCTTCGTTTCTCAAGCATTTCGTCAACTCCATCTCCCATTCCGTTTAGCGAGGTGCCGAGACAGTTTACAAATTTATTTACCGGAACGAGCTATCCACCACCTTTGGCGCCTCATGTTGCATTTCCAAGACCATATGCCGATGGTTTTACACCAAACCTTTCTGGTGATTCAGCTGCAGCAAGTGTTCCATACGCAAGCCAAAGAGTGTTTGAGGAGACGACATTAGTGCGCTTTCTTCGTAGTAAAGCCCTTTTTCTTTGCTCGCGTGCGCGTTAAGTGCGAAAAAAGGTAAAGAAAAACGGGAGTATTGAGGCAAGCTGTTGTTCTTTCAATGTGACCAGATCCCGCTTGCTCGATCTCTAGCACGTGCTTAGGTTTGCGGGTCTGACGTCACAAGCAAGCATGCTTCAGAGTGATTTCAAGCGCGAGTGTGACCGAGGGCGTAATAACCTGATTATTTTTCTTGGAATTTCAGTTTTAATTCTTTGATGCTTGGCGGATGCGTCTTATTGCGGTGCATTACGCTTGGAAGTTAAGCTCATACGAGATAGAGCTGTTAAGCCTTTTGGTCTCAGAATTTTCCCAAATAACTTCGTGTGTCGCAAAAACCGGCTATTAGGTTATTCAAAATGGCCTCTGGCAAAGCCAAAGGCGTCGATGAAATGACCTTCATGGAGCTGTGCGAAATGATGAAGGCTCTTGGTTTATCGGACGAAGGGGTGATGGAATTGAAGGACGCTAGGTCCCTAATAAAATCCACAATAAAGGCAGAAAAGACGACGAAATGGTCACCAGGAAAGGTACGGTATTTGTTGGTAAAATTTCAGAACGAGCAAATCTTAGCTCGGGTATTCAATTGCTTGCATGAACGCTATTTAGTGATCACTATCTCGCATGAGGCCATGCGAGGTTATAAGGCGAAAATAAATTTAGAATTTTTTCGTTAATTTCATTCTTAGGATTTGTGTACTAACCCTCAAGATGGACGGCTTTTTTCCCTTTTGATGTGTAAGAAAAGAAAGACTATGGATTTTTGCCCTGTACCGAGGCAATCAAAACATCATAGGCACAAATTAACAAAATATGTATACTCTTCATGACTCTTCTAGTGTTATTTAAAGAATAATTCTCGACTAGGATGTGCTTTTTCATGGAAAAATTCTCTACACGTTTTTATTATCATGTAATAAACAAGAAATGTGAAAGCGAAAGTCTTCCGCTTCCCAGTCGATCGGTTCCATCACCCTGATCACGTTGCAAACCTTCGATGTCAACAAGATCACCAAATATCTGACAGCCGCACTTCGCCGTGCCGATCTGACAGAACTATAACAGCGCGAAGTAACGAACAAAAGTCGAATATTCGATTGGATTTTCATTCTTAGCGTTTCAGCCTAGGAAGATAGTCCGAGGGTCTACGAGGCTGACAATTTAATACTCGACACTCCGCACGTTTGAAAAAAGCGGTTCCTTAATATTCTGTAAGAGATATATACCAAATACTAGTCGAGATACTAAAGCTAAGACGGTTGGTCAAACCCACGTAAACCCGGAGAATCACGCAGTCTGTCAGTTAATGCATTCTTGTATATATCTGTTATCATTTCGACATTAATAATAGATATGATAGTGTGAATCAGAGCTATAGTTCATCCCTCCCCCTCCCCTTTATTAAATCGATATTTCCGAGAATCGCTTTGTGATGAGTATTGGCTTCTATTCTTAACAACGGAAGTTTGAGGACTGTGAATATCTGTCTTAGTTTTTTTTAGCAATAACAATGGTTTGTAGCAAAGTGAAAGATCATCGACGATTTCGAGAGCCGTGCTGGAAACTGAAAGGACTGGACGACATGAAAGGCCTAAATATAAGAATTCGGGGTAAAGACAAAGACACGTCGATTAAGCTGGTCGGCAAGAGAGGTACGAAACTAATTGAACCAGGAGCCGATTGTATCGAACGAGTTGCCCTACTAGCCCTGTATTGATCTTACATTCGATCGAGATAACTTGAACCTCTTTGGCTGACCTTTACTCTCGCTTCGAAAAATGAAAATAACCAAATAAAAATTCTTCAAGTTTACCCATCAATGCGTTATACACAGTGGAGTATTCCAGTGTTGAGAAACTGATTCATTTAAGCAAACTTCATCCAGTGTTGTTTATTGGTGACCGCAAAGCATTTTTAGGTAAGTTTCGGGTGGATATTATTCGTCCAAGCACAAACTGACTAGATGAACACCAGTTTAGAAATATTTTGCCCTCTAAAGTGGTTAACTGGAGAAAAAAATCTCAGGAGAACCCAAAACACCTTTTTTTTGCATTTTGTTTTTTTCCCCCGGTTTTACTATAACCTTTCTACATTTTACGATGATAGATAGTCGGCCATAAGGCATGTTTCCGCACTTCAAATACGTGGTGCAACAACTGATTTTGATGTTTGTAATGCACAGTCTTTCGATCTCTTCAGAAACAATTACAGTTTTTCGAAAGGTGACTGGAGGTCTTTGATGATAATTAGTTGATAAAGTTGTTTGTTCTTTTTAGGATGCAAAATTCTTACAGTTAAGATTACTGGCCGAAAGTTTAGCTGCTAGGGATACAGGGGATTTTCAGTACTCCTGTGAAGACACTCGCCTGGCGCGTTTCCTATGTATTCATTTTTTCCTTTCTCTCTCGTTTTGAACTCGATATTTAAGGCTCTTCCACGCTCGTAAACTCTCCCTGTCTTTTTTTGTGCGTCAACGTTCACACTGCAACTTCAGTCAACGTGTTGGAATTCTTTGAAGGAACTGGGTGGATTCTTAGCGCCCCAAGGTGGGCCGGTGTGGGAACGATATAAGCATTCGAGATGACAATCCACAGTTTGGCCATTCTCTTTATATTTTGTTTTTAGTAAGTTGGATTGTATGGCTCTTGATTGTAGTTAAGAACATGGAAAGCGACAACTGGCGAAAATAAGTCTGCGTTCATAAGCTAGTATGAACGCTGAAGACTTTTTTTTTTGTACATTTCTCAGGCCTTCACCATTGTATCAAAAGCTAAAGAGGACTATGACAGGAAAAGAGACAAGCTTTTGGAATCTTACACCAAGTCCGAGGCGATACTGACTGAAGCGTGCAAGAAATTGCCTGTATTGCAGAAATTCATTGACAACTTTGAAAAGCGCATTGAACATCTAAAGCAAAAGGAATATTTCCTGTTTGTCACAGGTACCACTAATTTACGTTCTACTGCATGAAACTAGTTTTGCTGCAGTTAACCTATGTAGATTAGTAAGTTTGTAATCAGATTTTTTTTAAGTGCGATAAATCTCATTGTCTTTGGACCCCTAAAATTTCGTACGAAATAGTTCGATAAGGAAAACAATTCGCCAAAAATTACGTTACTTCCATTTGGCCCACAGGAAGTTAATAGATTTAGCCAATTATGTGCCTAGTTCCAGCCCCCACCGTGTTTTGAGCTTCACGCAACGATTTTTGAAAAACTTGAAAATATGGCCATCTGATGCGGCACTGATTTGTGGCGGTGTTTGCGAAGAACGAAGCCTTATTCAACCAAATACAAGTCAAGCAAATTATTTTGAAGGATTCTGGAGGATAACAAGCAAAAAAACGCGAAAACCAAGGTAAGAAAACAGTAAGAATCTTTGTGTGGAATGCGCCGTCGTCGGCTGTCTGGCACACAATTCTCTTAAAACGCAGTGAATTCCGTCCCGCTAAGCTTAATTTTGCCTTCAAAGCCTTGCTTATTTTGATGACTTCTATCAGTGAATCCATGTTTGCTTGTTTTTAACTCGATATTTCGCCGAGAAACTAAAATATAAAGCGTCTTTCGAAGGTCAACATCCACTGTGTGTCGAGTGCCATTATGCTAATTAGCTCTGACGTCATTGCATAATGTCACAGCGTCAGAAAATAAATTTCTTGGAAATCACTAGTCGCCCTATATTTTCAATCGATTTTTTGAGCTGTTTTGCTTAGATATTGAAGAANGGCTCTTGATTGTAGTTAAGAACATGGAAAGCGACAACTGGCGAAAATAAGTCTGCGTTCATAAGCTAGTATGAACGCTGAAGACTTTTTTTTTTGTACATTTCTCAGGCCTTCACCATTGTATCAAAAGCTAAAGAGGACTATGACAGGAAAAGAGACAAGCTTTTGGAATCTTACACCAAGTCCGAGGCGATACTGACTGAAGCGTGCAAGAAATTGCCTGTATTGCAGAAATTCATTGACAACTTTGAAAAGCGCATTGAACATCTAAAGCAAAAGGAATATTTCCTGTTTGTCACAGGTACCACTAATTTACGTTCTACTGCATGAAACTAGTTTTGCTGCAGTTAACCTATGTAGATTAGTAAGTTTGTAATCAGATTTTTTTTAAGTGCGATAAATCTCATTGTCTTTGGACCCCTAAAATTTCGTACGAAATAGTTCGATAAGGAAAACAATTCGCCAAAAATTACGTTACTTCCATTTGGCCCACAGGAAGTTAATAGATTTAGCCAATTATGTGCCTAGTTCCAGCCCCCACCGTGTTTTGAGCTTCACGCAACGATTTTTGAAAAACTTGAAAATATGGCCATCTGATGCGGCACTGATTTGTGGCGGTGTTTGCGAAGAACGAAGCCTTATTCAACCAAATACAAGTCAAGCAAATTATTTTGAAGGATTCTGGAGGATAACAAGCAAAAAAACGCGAAAACCAAGGTAAGAAAACAGTAAGAATCTTTGTGTGGAATGCGCCGTCGTCGGCTGTCTGGCACACAATTCTCTTAAAACGCAGTGAATTCCGTCCCGCTAAAGCCTTGCTTATTTTGATGACTTCTATCAGTGAATCCATGTTTGCTTGTTTTTAACTCGATATTTCGCCGAGAAACTAAAATATAAAGCGTCTTTCGAAGGTCAACATCCACTGTGTGTCGAGTGCCATTATGCTAATTAGCTCTGACGTCATTGCATAATGTCACAGCGTCAGAAAATAAATTTCTTGGAAATCACTAGTCGCCCTATATTTTCAATCGATTTTTTGAGCTGTTTTGCTTAGATATTGAAGAAAAAAAATCTTTTTGACTATCGTTTTCTCCTGGCAAAATAATTATGCACAAATATGCCTTGTAATCTTTTTTGGCGAAATATTATGGGTTTCCTGAGACCGAAATATTTTTTTTCTGAAAGTTTAATTTTTGCCCTTTCTAATGAGGTATAGCTCTATATTGAACTGTAAATAACAGCAGAGATATAATTTTTTAAAGTTACAGGGTCAAAAATACTTAAAATAAGTTCCGAAGACAATTGCAATAAGGCAAGCAAAAAAACCATGTGCATTCAAAATATGAGGGAAACAGTAATTGTATAATATGTTGTTTTTAGTAATAGTCAATGGTGTCATTCTAAAAGTCTACTTGTGTGGTTGATCACTCAATATATTATTCAAATCAAGCCCGTCAAAGTCAATACTTCCTGTCCCACCATCAATACAATGTAAATTCAACCGTAGAAAAAAGTTGAAAAGGAAATTTTACACCCTATTTTTTTGTTTTGTTTGTTTGTTTTTTGTTTTTTCGGGTATGCACACATGCATGTAACCTCTGGTGGGGTGTTTTTAGTGGAGCCCCATGGTTAAGAAAATTTGGTAATCTATCCACCCCCGAAAATTATTTATGACGTCAGCGTACGACCGAACGCTGACCGTACAGACTCAGGGGAGGGGGAGGGGAGTCAGGAGTCAGCCTGTCTGGGGAGGAATATGAAATGGCTGAGGTGAAATGTTTGCATTTCACGCACCCCGGTCGTTTCGGCGGTAAATCACATGGCGGCCCGGACGTTTAAAGAAAAAAAACAAGTCTTTCTTTCCACTAAATTTTAATGTCCACACTATTTTAGATAACAGGAAAAGAGCCAGAGCGAGAAATGAATAACAATGAAGACCAATTTCGTTGGAAGAAAAACATGAAAATTATATAACGGCGGTGAGAGTGTGCTGCACGTGCAAAGCTGTTTTTTTGCTAATTAGAAAAAAGTGTGCTGCACGTGCAAAGTTTTTTTTACTAATTAAAAAAAGAAGTGTGCTGCACGTGCAAAGTTTGTTTTTTGCTTATTAGATCTGTTGTTATTGTTTTTTACCGTTCTCGTTGTTTTCACCTCGTCTATAGTATTTTCTTTGAGAAAACTTTAAATATTAAAGAGAGCTTCGCTTTTAGCCCTGGCTAAATCTATAGTGTAAAATTCCGGAAAAATAAGCCCCTCCTTGTATAAGCCCCACCAAATATAAGCCCCCCAAACCGGTAACGCAAAAAACCCCTCCATTAAATCGCCCCTCCAAATATAAGCCCCCCGGGGGCTTGTACTTGAAAAATTGCCCTCAAATACAAAGTAAAACAAAGCAAAACGGTAAATTTACTTCCAACTATAAGGCTAGCCCAATCGATTTTGAAACGCAAATTTCCCTCCGTAGATAAGCCCCTCCGAATATAAGCCCCTCCAACAATAAGCTCCTCAAAAAGGGCCTTTGAAAAATATTAGCCCCGGGACTTATGTTCTGTGAATTTTACCGTTTATTATTTTTAATTATTTTATTTTATTTTATTTTAGGCGAGACGTCTGCCGGAAAAAGCCTTCTGATTAATCTTTTCCTGGGAGAAGAAATTCTTCCATCCGCACATACCCGAGCTACTTCCACTATATGCGAGATAAGGTATGGGGAGCAACGCAGAATTAAGGCCTATTTTAAAAGTAAGGATCCTGAAACAGGACAGCCAACCAAGGAAATATCCCTTGAGCCGCCTTCAGGAAGTTCTGAACAAAATTACGTTGAACAGATCTCTCCTTTTGTTAGCGAGAATGCTTCACTTTGTACGAGGATTGAACTCTTTTGGCCTCATCCACTTTTACAGGTGATTATATTTTCATTGTGTTTTATACCCGAAGTAAAAATTAATCCTTGAGTGTTGTATTTTTCGCTACAATTAAGTTTTTGTTCACTGGAGATAACTCTGCTTGGCTGCCGTGCAGAAGTTCAAATGGAAAAAGTCTCAGATCATAGCTCCTCTGAGTTTCAACCCATATACCGTGTCAGTGACACAAACCTCTGTCTAAAATATCCATAGTATTGTTGTTGTGTCTAAAGGATAAAAAGCACTAAAATAGGTCTTTTTCATTCCTGGAGCATAACCTGTTGACCTATTGATTGTGCACAGACACTTCACTTGATTAACAATTTGGAAATTTCATCAGAATTGTTTTGTACATCATAACTGGCTTATAACTCTAAACTAGCCTACCTAAAACCTTACGATATTTCAATTTAAGAAAAATTGTCCCCTCAAAAAATTGGTTATTAGGTCCCACCCTTAGGAATGAGCTTAAGCGGCTGGCTTCACTTGTTCAAACGTTCAAGCGAGGGTGCCTGAAGCTCGGCAGTCTATACATTATACTTTTTTTTTATATGGCTTAATCCGCGAGCGGGCAAGATGAAGCGAATCCTGCGTTCTGATTGGCTACCGGAGCAGGCAAGATGGACCCATTTTGCTCGCTCGGGATTTCCCGCGCTGGTCACGCCAGAAAAAGTTCTCTTTTTGGCCATGTAATAAACCCTTTATTGACCAAGCTTGTTTGGTCAAGGTGGCTGGATAATGGCCTCGTTGTTTTCTGCTTTTTTATGTCTTTGTCAATAAAAAAAGCAAAAAAGAACTTGACCAATATCCAGCCATCCTGACCGAACAAGCTTGGTCAATAACGCAAGCCATATATCTAAAGAGCGCACGCCAGAGGACAATTTGTGGCAGAAGAAAAATACCTCTGCCCTTTTTAAACCGCTCAACTTCAGACCGACAACCACGTCTAATTAAACTTTATTTATAGCTCCGATAGTATATTGTAATTTAAATTTTCACATTAAGACGAGAAAAGAAAGTGTCCGCACTGAGCAGTCGGCCTTGATTCAAATGATTTGCGTCCCCGATTTTCAGCTTCAAAACTTTTTCAGTGATTTCCCATCTCAGATGATCTATCAAGTGGTTAAGATTTTAAAATCTTCAACGTTTCCCTTTTAATCTCTCTTTTTGCAGACGGGTAACGTGAAGGGAAACCTTGCTCTATTGATAATTTTGGTAAAACACGGTAGTCAGTTATCGACTTTAGCGAGCATGCGCATATATATGATAAAAAAAAATTGACCTCTTTGCTGGAACCAACAGCGCTCACACACGCTCTGATTGTCTAATACAGCGCTTGCGCATGCTGTGATTGTCTCGCCTTGACCGAGTTGATCCCGCTGGGTGAGCCAGTTTTTATATGGAGAAAAGTTGTCCCGGCTAGTAGGGTCAGACCCAACCATTGAAAAAGGGTGACGCAGGACACCCTTCTAGCCAAGCCAACGTATTGTTTCTTTAAAACGTTTCGCCACATTTCAACATTTTGTAAGGAAATGTATGAAACGTTGGCTCGTCGAGGTTAGCTCGGGTAGGCGGATGACCATTTTCCCACGGACGACTTTTCTCCATGTAAACGGGGCCTAATGGTAGTAGAAGTACAAGTAGTTTGGAGTATAAGTAATGGTAGCACAACGCGGCAAAGATAGTGGTAGTATGGCTTAAAACGTAAAAAAAACTAAATCTGATATGTCTTTAATTTTAGAAAGGCATAGTGATCGTTGACAGTCCTGGCGTTGGGGAATCTAAAGAGTTGGATGACGTGGTGTACCAGTATCTCCCTAAAGTCTTTGCTTTCATTTTTGTCCTTTCTGCCGCAAACTCTGATGGAATTCAAAAAGATACAGTAAGTATCCTAACCGCTTACATTATTTTTTGCCAACTTTACCTGATTTGATTACGTAAATCGACCCATTTCGTGTGCCAGGCCTTTGTCGAAGCAAAAGAAGGAATTGTCTCAATATCAGGAAACTTCAAGTCGCTTTTGTCTTTGCTGTTTTGTTATTAAATGTTTAAATTTTTGTCTTGGATAAAACAGCAGGATATGGATGTCGTCATTTTATATAAAAACTTGCAATTGTCTCAAGGCTGTTCTATAAGTAGACTCAGTCTCCAGTCGTAGGTATCTCGCTGCGCCCGCGGTACTACCCACAGGCGCACCGATACACCCGCGGCTGGAGACTGAACCTAAGTTATAAGATGGAGATTTTTAGAGAGGAGAAGTCATACGCCACGTTGCCATGATAGCAAAATTTCGGGATCTCAACAAGCTTCAACAAACCATAGGCCTGCAAATATGGCAGGAAGAAACGAAAAGTGTTCCCCTTTCTTCTCTAATGTCGTACCATTTGCGAAGATTGTCGAGACAACCAAGCGAGGAATAATTGTTTTCCGGCAATTTCTGGTGAGTCTATCAGCTAATCAGATCTTTCAGATTGTTCTAAGAGTCAACCAGTCACTACGCGCATATTGTGACCGCAATCACTTGTAGTCTACTTGTCGTGACTAATTCTGAGACAACAAACTGTAGGCCTGGTTCTTTCCTTGATTGTTTTTCCTTTCCTGCCTTATCAATCAGAGATAAAACTCTGATTGATAAGGCAAGGAAGGAAAAAAATAAAATAAATATTCCTCGCTTGGTTGTGGCAACAATCTTCCCAAATGGTACGATATTAGAGAAAGGGGAGGATTTTGCCGTCTGAATTTTTATTTTGTGTTAAATGTGCCGATGCTTTGGAGTCCTGCAACTCCTGTTCGTGACAAAGTACCACTTAAATACTCTTTAAAGACATCCGCCTATTCTACAAATCCAGTTAGAAGCGTCTTGTAAACTACAAGGTTGAGCCAGCGTTACAATGGTCAGCTTGGTGGTGAGCCGCACGAAAGCGAGGCAAAATGTCGAGAATAAAACCGGCATCTGAGTGAAATAGGTCTGCATACTGAGCATACTGAGCATACTGAGCGAGCAGTAATAATGCCTGATTTCGTCGGTCTTCTTAAAAACAAGGACCTCGCGCTTGGTCATTATGCTTAAGAAGACTGAGGATTGGGGGCATTATTCGATCTAACGGACCTTTTCCATTGTTTTAAAACGATATTTAGCACAAATATATCTTGCAAATTGGGCTCAAATTTTCAGACAAAATTGTTCTGCTGCAGCTATAGCTTGATCAGAAATTGATGAGCGCATGCTATTGAGACAAAAACAGCTTCAACCAAAGATTTGCCTATTTTGTCACGAACAACAAACATTACACATTAGGTTACGTGGGTTCATGACTACGCATTGATCATACACTCTTTTTTTTTATAAGAATGTACTTTATAAGAATATAGAGGCTGAAATTTGCGAACTTTAAAGAATATTTTAAGAATAAAGCCGAGGCTGAGATTTTGAAAAGGATAGATATAATTTTGTGTGTTGAAACATCTGTAAATACAATAAAATTTTATGTTTTTAACTTAACCGTATAAAATTATTCCTTTCTCTGAACGGCGAAACTAGCCAACAAAACGAAAAAACCTGCACTAGCTATAGCAAAGTGTTCAACGCTAATGACAGTTCGATGAACGGTACATGTAATACATGTACATATACCCCAATAAATTCTAAAACGGAAATGTCATAAGCTATAATTTAAGAATAATACAAGAATATTTTCAGCCTAAAATCGGCAGAAAAATAAGAATATTCAGCCTAAGCCAGAAAAACAACATTCTTATAAAAAAAAAAGAGTGTAACCATAAGAAATGTACGCAGATATCACTCGTAACTTGTCTTAACTAAAGGCAGAAAATAATTAGTTTTTTAGTGTTTTACTAAATACAACTTACTGGTAATTTCGTTATAAATTATTTGTATGATTTTTTCGACTTTTCAGATCAGAAAATTATTTGAAATGGTAATGAACGTCTTCAGTGTTTTGAAACAAGAAGTGAGAGAAAATCTGGCCACTGCGTTCCCTATTGAAGAAGGAATGTGCGGAATGACGCATGTTTTGCAGGAATATCTGTTAACAAAGTGCGCCTTGTTTGTGTCTAACAAGTGGGACGAAGTTCCAAAGGGAGAATTTCAAAATGTCAAGGAAGTTTCCATCAGGAAATTGAAGGAGATCTGGCCCGGCTTTGATCCCAAATCACAACTTATTTGCATGTCAGCAAAATATGCCAGAGTAGCTCAGCAGTACAATGTCGCAACAGAAGATTTTCACTCGTTGATGAATGGTATGGATGGCTTGATCACCAAATGCATTAACGCCAGACTAGAACTTAATTGGCGGTAAGGTTTAGTTTACTTAGGTATAGCCTGCGAATACAGCCGTTTCTCCTCGCTCTTCGCCGCTGGGGAAGTTTCGCGAGGAGGAGCGTCTGCGACTCAGTGATAGAAATTCCATACTGATCACGTAAATCAATGTTTATATAATAAGTCCGGTAGTCATGGGGTTCCAAATGCAAGTTTGTTCAATTTTACGTTTCGCCTGGTTGATTTTGGTGAAGTGTTGTGTTCATCTGCGAACGAGCTTCATCAAAACTCAAATGCTTCTTCTAGAGAAGACTGTTTTCCACAAATATTGACTGTTTTGTTAGAGATTCAACGCGTTTATATTCGACCTTTGTGGTCTTTTGTCTTTTGTCTATCATTCGTAAACAATAGACAAAACAATGTAACTACTGTGTCGACCAATCAGCGCTTCTGACGGATTCCGGACAGATTTTACGTCATCTGTTGCTGAGTCGCAGACTTTCCTCCTCGCGATACGTCCCCAGGGGCGATTAGCGAGGGGAAACGGCTGTTTTTGCAGGCTAACTTAGGTATATCAAGAAAGGATACTTATTTCTCTTTTAAGGTGGCTCATCCAGATACTAATTTCCTCTTCCTAACGATGACTCGACCAAGTATTATTTTTTGACCTCAAACGCACTAAAAAATTCCAATGGGCAAATGTGACGGCTATACGCGTAAGCTGCAAATGAATCCATCCTTCATGTAATTCCTTTTGTGTATCCGCAAATTCCGTCCCATTTGATCATCGTTAGTTTTTCTAAAAATGTTTATTGATCAAAATCAATTCTTATCAACTTTTTTTCATAACAGAAGAATCTTGATAACTTCTATATTTCATTTTGTAGCGACAGTGGAGGAACGCGAAGAAGATATGACCAAAAGCTCTGGGGTGCTTTCCATCATGACCAAGCCCACTGAAACCAGTTGAACTAACCAAGAGGAAATGGAACGAGACTGTTCGATCAAAATATGATTTCCAACTGGATCGAGGAGTCCCACTTCCATTTCCAACCAAAATTTTTACTACTTCTCAGCCAATAAGAGTGGATACGAGCATTTTTAGAAAGGAGTGGTGACTTTTTAGGTCGGACCGGACCGATTGGTGAAAGAGGAGGACTCTGGAGGTAGACCTTTTTCCTGAAAATTTCCTCCTTCCATTTATACTTCGACCGAAATCTGCGGAAATTTTGGCATATTGGAAAGCAACCCTGGCCTCAGTTGTCGTCAAACAAATTTCTAGATGCTGCATTAATTTTGGTACATGAATCGACCTGTCAAAATTGGGCGCACCGGTTACTCCGTTTTTTTGCGCAGGGATTTTATTAACTTGCGCAGGAATACATTATCGCCGATGACGTCATAGCCTTTTTTTTATCTTCATGAATGAAATGCGCAAGAATCTCATTAAGATAAGGCCGTGTGCTATTTTTAGTTGGTGTAACCGGTTTTACAGGTTTTTAGTTGCTTTTAGGTCGGTAAATGTCTTGGTTTCGATTGGTCGATTAGAAAATATGAAACGTTCAACCTCGTCCCCAGGGCGCTTTTCCCTGGCTTTTGAAACGTTTTCATTGGTTAATTCACGGTGTCCGGGGAGTAAACTCAAACTTGCCTGTGACTTAAAATCGCTGAGTCGTAACGTGATTATGCAATTTCTATTTCCTGCTGCTGTGGTTGTCCTAGTTCCGGTTCAATTATCTTGGTGCGCAAATCATATTTACTTTAGAACGCTTAGGCTTTTTAGCGCTTAGGGAGTGAACATGGTTACAGCTACCATAATTTGCGGCACTGGATGTTTGTGCTGTTTTTTTCAGGAAACAACTCATGCACTACGTAATGAAAATCATCGTGTAACCTCTTGCCTGTTATATTTCTCGGAATCAATTTCGTAGGACCGAATGAACTTTCGGCAAGAGAAATTCAAAAAAATAAAATGGAAAATGTTTTAAAATGGTTTAGATTAGAGCATAGCTAACTATAATTAGAGCGGTATATATTGCATTGTCTGCACGGTGATGGTATATCAGTTGGTAATGCAGGAGCGAACAAAACTTTTTAGTCGTACAGCTTTTCAAGGACTGGAAAATTGAAAAAAAAAACTGTTATAGGGTGTCAATTTATACTTTTAGTGTTCACAATTTATAACGGGTTACCTGTTACGATGACTTTGAACTGAACTTTGCAAAACTATTTTCAGTCTTCTTGCGCGTGATTTGCAGTATAAATTTCATTCCAAAGGATGTCTAACAGAATTTACCATGTTGTCCACTTTAACTTATCAGTCTATGTAGCGAATGGGCTGGGTGCGCAAATCCCCACTTTTAAGCACATGTCAGTGATCATAGAGTATTTTTAGTAATAAATGTCCCGTGCACGACTGGACGACCTTTTGCTTTTCTGTGCTTACGGTTGAGTGTTTATGTGCCAAGTATTGATTAAGAATGAAGAATTATGAAAAATTTTCACGTACAAATGATATTATTATTTTTTTTTTTTAATTCAACTAAGACAACTAAGTGTTGTTTGTACGTATACGCACCGAATACTAAGCTTGAATGGGAAAGAAAGAAAGTGTTCCAGGTATCAGTAACAAAAAGGCGGCTTAATGTTAAAATCGCTTCTGAATCATTTTCATCTTTTCCTTTGTTTAGGTGGCTTAATGACGTACTTTCCGTGATGATTGCTGAAGCAAAGACTTCCCTCAAAACTTTTTCCTCGAAACTTGAAAACGTCACAGAGGAAATAAAACAGATCAATGACGCCTTGGAGTATATTAAAAGCCATAAAGATGAAATAATGAAAGGACTCTATAAACATTTCGAGAACTTTGAGCTTGAAGCTTTGAATCGAGCGTGCGAATATCTCTCTTCTGATGACGTTCAATTCCGTTTCACCTCGTGGACTGAAGAGGAGGTTCCACAGGAAGACAGGGACTGGGAGGAGACGACACGAAACATCGAAAGGGCATTCCAAAGCCGTTTACAGGAAACATTACAGTCTTGGTTCGAAGAGGGCATGTTTTTGCCAACAGCTGAAGATTTTGTTCATGAAGAGCTGAAGAAGTACTTCAGTCAACCTGAAGACCACTTAAAGTGTCTTCCAGATGTCCCGGATGATAATGAGGGTGAAAAGAGAAACAGTCCTTGGTACCGCCACTTCAAGAAGGCCAAAAGCGGCAGCCGTCAAGGACTCATTATTGGGGGTATTTACGCATTCTTTGCTGTAATTGCCTGGCTCATCCCTATTCCTTCACTTGCCATTCGACTGGTTTTTGCTGTTTATCCTGCGTTTAGCCTTTCGTTAAACGTTATTGAAAGATTAAGGACACGATGGGAGAAAAGTGAATTTCAAAACGGAAAGGAAGCGTTTATGTCAACCCATTCCAAGAACTTTCTCACCGCTGTTAAAAATAGAAATGTGCTTCAAAACTTCGTAAAATTGCAATTGAGACCTGTAAAGCAATACCTTGTCAAGGTTGGCGCTTATTTCTCCACGTTAATCCCTGTGAAAAAGAAGCAACTTCTACAGGTTAAAAATAAGGAGCGCTCTTTGGAAGAGGTAAAAAATGTTTATTGGAAGATATATAAAGACGGGTGTCGCATGAGAGGCCTTTATGCAGTGTTAGGTGTAACAGAAATATTCCCCTTGAGAATAAGTTGGAAAGGAGACATTTCTTTCCCCATTGGCAGCGGTACATTTGGTGGTGTTTACCAAGAAAATATGACAAAAGAGGAGGGAAGCAAAACTGTGGAATTGAAGGTGTGCAAAAAAGAGCTCAATGCTGAAAACGCCAGCGAAATCATGAACGATATTGAACTTTTGAGGTAAGAGAACAAGAGTCTGAATTTCCTTCAAACTGGTTAATGCAAAATAAGGGCTTTCTGACGTTTCACTCTTTGTTGGAAATACCGTAAATTTGGTCTTGGTCTTCATCTGTCTAATAACCCACCGTTTTGAAGTTATTTAATCCAAAAAAAGCCACCCCCCTCTCCCTTTACGGTGATATCCCCTCTTATCTTGAGACGTGAGGGTTATCAGCTGGGAAGCGAGCTGGACAGTTTTCGGAATACGAGGGACAAGGGTCGGGAACTACGATTTTCTCTTTCTCCTTCCATTGTTTAGCTCTTTGGGGGAAATGCCTCACTCTCCCGACTTGGCTCTTTCCTTTTCCTTTTGAATTATAAATGAGTTTAAGAGTCTAAATAAGCTCCGCCCGCTCTACTGAGAGCTCTCCCTCGATCTGTATTGAAATTTCTACGGTAGGTCTGAGTATCATACGGCCAGTCCAGGACATTACAGTGACAGGTGCTAAAAAAAGGTTGGATTTCCTTGAAAAACTACTTACAATAACGCAATTTACACGAGTTAGATAACAGTAAGAAACTTGCTGAAAAAATTAAAATGCTATGAATTAAAAATGATGGTAAAATCAATTAACGTAACAGTCTGTTTGGAATTTCGAAGCCATGAAATGTTTAAAACAAAACCCTTGCTGAGAAGAAAGTTTATCTTTCCTTTGATTAGGAAGTTAAACGACCACCGTCACATTTTGCAGTTTTATGGCATATCACTTCGCCAAAATTATGTAGTCTTGGGCTTCGAAAAATGCATTGGAAGCCTGGCAGACTATATCTTTAAAGACGAGAACAAGAAGTCAGTCCCTACCAGATCCAAAAAACAGTTTGTCCGATTAAAGTTCCAGTGGGCAAGAGAGATCACCGATGGTTTGGCTTTCATACATGCGCTGAAAGTTGTGCACAGGGACCTCAAGCCTGAAAACATTTTGGTATGAACTATACTTTTATGTTATTATATTATTATTATTATTATTATTATTATTATTATTATTATTATTATTATTATTATTATTATTATTATTATTATATGATCAAGAAAATGATAAAAATAGCCATTAGAGCAACATTTTACATCTTTTGGTTTTTTTTGCTTTTCTTTTGTTTTCTTGTGTTTTTGTTGTTTTTTTTTCCTTTTTAATAATCCAATCTCAAGCTGCATTTGTAAACTGCCTATACGTAGCGAGATTTACAATTGTACATTCAAAAACAGAAATAAAGTTTCCATTATTATTATTATTATTATTATTATTATTATTTTTATTATTATATTTAGTCTTTGCACGTACCTTGCTAGGTAACTGATCTAGAAAAATAGGACCCCTTGATTGTTCTAAGATCTGTTTTTTGTTTTGTTTTGGTTTTTTTTTGGTGGTGGTGGGGGTAGGGAGGGTGGTGGGAGAGCGGTTAACACATGTCAGTTCTGTTTTCGGATTACTACTTTGACTAGCCACACAGCGCCTGTTCCCGTGTACAATGATACGTGAGTGGTCTCTGAAGAAGAATGAAATAATCACATTTTTTACGGAGATAAGATTAAGATTAGACTATTATTGGGGCCGACGATATTACCTTTGAGGTGAGGCATTAGGTGATTTCAATTGTATTTATATATAATATCCTGCAAACAGACCTAGAGTTAGAAAAAAAAGCATTGAGATACTAGTGTTATATAAAACACTATAAAGCGGAAAAAATCTATCACAGTAGCTGGTTTGGAGAACATTCTTGTTTAAACTTAAATCCTTCCTCTTCTCACTGGCTATATCCCTCTTAATCTTGTACCATACAAATTTTAATTATTGTTATAATTATGATAATTATTATTATTATTGAAGTACAAATAAATGTTCTCATTTGTATTAAAGCTATCTGAAGAAAAGTTAACTAAGATTGCTGGACTAGCCAAGCCGGTAGAAGTGATTACAGACACTGTCGCTGGAACGTATTTTTATATGGCACCCGAAGTGTTTGATTCCCAGAAATATGACGAGAAAGCAGACATCTACAGCCTGGGAATAGTCTTGTGGGAGATGTGGTACGGACAGCGAGCCTATCAATGGCCTGGTACGGTTCAAGAATTTTTTGTTTGGTTGAAAGATGGTAATCGCCCAGTGCACAAGAGTAGCTCCGACAAACCTCCGTGGAAGAACTTAATGATGCAGTGCTGGGACGGCAACCCCGAGACACGCCCTACAGCTCTGGCGTGCAAGGACGAAATAAAAAGAGTGTGCATCCAAAAGAAAGTTGTCTAAATTGAATTTGACGCTGAGTGAATAATGATCTATGTCACATGTCGGCTCTTGTAGGCTGCACTTGAAAACATAAGGAGTTCGTCTGCAGATTGAACATAATTAGAAATTTATAGTTGAATAATTCAAGTTTATAAGTGGAATGCAATAATCTTTGACGTAGCTTTGAAAAACGAAACTTGTAATCCTAATGGGAAAATAAACTAGTTTTGTATAGCACTAATAACGGATGATGTGTATCAAGACAATCGTTTTCATGTGCGAAATGTAACGATTACAATTCATCTTTGTCTAAGATAAACGATAATATTAATTATAATAACAAACAGACAAATAATGCTTGTTTTCAACATATTTTGAACTTTTTGTTGCAAAAAGTACTCCTCAAAAGAAATAGCGAGTTACCAAAAGAAAATTGGCCATTATTGGTGAACTGGAAAATCGGTTCTTCCATGCATTTAAGAATTTTAAAAGCTCTGAGTACGTCAGTAATACAAACATAAAAAGAAACACATCGCTTTAATATTTAGCAATCACTGGATTCGGCTTTCGTATGATCTAAAGAATTACCTAGAACTCGGAGGGTGTTATCCACCGAGGCCTTAACGCCCTTCGAAATCTGTATATTTTTTGGATCACACGCAACGAAAAGCAAGATTTAAATTAAACAAAACCTTTCACAGTAAATTTTCTTCAAGCAGCCGGTTATCAGCTACATTTCGCGCTGACCTTTGCAAGTCTATTACCTTTTTTTTTCCAAGTCTCAACGTCTGCGTAATTAATAAATTGCAATCAAAAACAACAACTGATTCAATTCGCATAAAAAAAAGCAATATATCAACTACCGTGAGATCCAACAACAGCAACAACACTTCACTTCCATCACCGCGCATATGGATTTGCCTTCTCGAGCTTTCCCTCTTTCGATAATTAATGCTTTGGCTTTTGTTTTGGTTCTGATCTTGTGCTTGCTTTAACCCAGGGCGGTCCGTTCTCGAAATTCCCCAGGAGGTAATAACCCGTGTTCACGGTCCCTCGCTTAGAACTATTCAGCTGACTATTAGCGATAAAGTAAGGCAAAAAAGGTACCCAGTTAGGGTAGAGCAACGGCTTGCCCCGATCGGTGTAATTCCCTTGCATATAAAAAGACAAAATGGCAATTTCCCCTGAGAACAAAACATACGAGCTAAAGAAAGAGGTCTATTTCGTTAGATAGAAGCTTTGCCATATAAGGAATACTAAGAACCAGCTCTTCCTCGGTAAAAGAGTTATGGCTAGTAAGATTTCGATCTTGAAATTACTGATTGTTAATTTTAGTTTTTAATTTTTTGTTATAGTAGCATAAAAAAATCTCCCAAAGCGCTCTCCAGCTGCCCCGAGCGATAGCGAACGGTATAAATAGCATGTTGAGTAAAGGTAAACAAACCCCGAAATAAATTACAAACCTCACCGACTTTAAGGCAAGTGATTACAAGCCATCCAAGAAAGAATTAGATTTGTGGGTAACTTATTGTGCATCGTTTGTCACAAAATCTGCTGTTACACCATCTGATGAATTCGTCTTTTAAATATGAAAATATATCAACTTCGGCCGGCTTTACCAATACCTCACCGGCGTCATCTACGATGAAGTTTCCTTCCAGAACAGACGAAACAGCAATCTGCAGCACTATCGTGATTGACGCTGTCTTAACTGTCGGGGGAACCTTGCTCGCAATTGTTCTCTTCACACTGAAAAACAAGCTCCGTAAGAAAAGTTTGCCTCTAGTTATAAATATGGCGTTCGCTGATATGATGCTTGGAGCTGCATCATAGTTTGTTCGTTTACTTGCGAGTTGGTTTTCGGCCACCACTAAGGAGTCCGAGATGCTCTGGAACCGCTGGAGATTTTTTTCCTTTGGTTTGATCTCATTTTCTTGTAGGCCTCTTTAATTTCTGCAGTGTTTATATCTTGTGAACGATTTTACCCCATCTACTGGCCACTAAAAACATCCAACACTGTCGAGGAGAGCATATGCCATTGTCATTACTTTAATTTGGACCCTGGCTTTTCTTGTTAGCGTATTCTTCGAACTCATTAGAGACAAAAACAGGTTCTTCTATAATGCAATATTAATTTCATTTTTTTGCTCGTCTTATGTTGCTATAATGTAGGTATTTATTGGAAGTTTCAAAAGAGGAAAAAATGCACCAAGCGATGCTATTCGTCAGCAAAACAGAACCTGCCAAACCCGACGCCTGACAAAGACCTAGCTTTTTTGTGTCTGCTGCTGTGTTCTTCTGGCTTCCTCACGCCATTATTCTAAATTTGACGGCGGCACACATGGTCTCTGTACCTGTAACAACTTTTCTTTATCTTCACATTCTTACCTATTCCAACTCCTTTGTCAACCCAATAATTTACGCGTTAAAAATCCCTGAATTTAGACAGTCGTTAATTACAGTGTGTTCAAGATGTCGGATGTAGACGGGATGGACAGGGAAGGCAAAGAGGGAAGAGATACGGTTACTATTGAGTTGAATACGGTGGTAGAGTCAAGAACATCATCAACCAATTCGTAAGACACACAGCAGAACTTTGAACACGAATCTATGGACCCCAAATTGTGATCAGAAGTTGCAACTATATACTGTACTACAAAGTTCACTGACACTTTCATTAATTGCAGGAATCGGCTCCTGTAAATTGCTAATTAAAAAATGTAAGAATTATGCATACAAGCGTTTACGGATTCAGATTTCGTCTTCGTCTTCTTTGATCATTTTTTTCAAAATGCTTTGGCTTTGGTTTTGGTTCTTGTGCTTGCTTCAACCCTAGCTCCAGAGGTCCGTTCTCGAAATTTCCTATAATGTAAACCGTGCCACGGTCTTTCACTTAGAACTACAGTGAAACCTGTATTAAGCGAACACCCTCGGGGAAGGCTGTAGTGTCCGCTTAATATAGGGTGTCCGCCTAATGCGGGTTTCAATAGATAACGTCATGTGAGGTGTCAAATGCCATTCAAATGAACAGTGGAAACGTTTAGAATACTCCCAGAGACTATGACGATGTACGTTTGCATTAATTTCTTTATCAAAGTAGACCAATTGATCATAGTACCTTAAACAAAGATTGCAACTCAAATTTGAAGAAATCAGATGAGTGGAACAAACTCCATACAAACAAAACGAAATAGAAAACAATCCTGTACTGTGAAACTAATCAAATGAGTTCGTCAAGTCAGGTTTTTTAATGTAAAATTGAAAAATTTGTGGGTGGCAATTCGAGGTAATCTTTCGCATTCCCGGTGTTTGGCATGTTGGGTGGTGGCATTTAATTACAAGCGTCCGCTTATACAGGGTGGCAACGATAGAAATGACCATTTCAGGGACTTTTTAGGTGTCCGCGTCCGCTTAATAGAGGTGTCCGATAAATAAAGGTTTCACTTAAAGTAAATAAGGGAAATAAATTTGGGGACTTCGGCTACTGTCCGCTTAATAGAGGGTGTCCGCTTAATACAGGTTTCACTGTATTAGCAATAAAGTAAGGAAAAAACAAACAGGCAGCCAGCCAGGGTAGAGCTAGCGCTTGCCCCGAAGGGTGTTATTCCCGTGCATTTGATAGACGCATAATCTATTCACAGGACATAAGAACAATCAAAACAAACGAGTGAAGCTTTGCCATATAAGGAATACTAAGCACCAGCTCTTCCTCGGTAAAAAAAAATCATGGCGGACAATGGGATTCGGACGTCTGGAGCTTTCCGAGCAGAAATTTTCGAGTTTGACTATCAGGGTTTCAGTGCAAATGAAATATCAAGTCATTCAAAATTAATCATGCAAGAGGTCAACAGAATTGTCCCCCATTACCGACGTTATGGAACTGCGCTTTCTTCGATCACATCGCCGCAGGGTCGCGGTAACTCGGCTTACCCACTCGTGCATTGCGGTCTATGAAACTTCTTTATCCTGAGAAATACAGGTAACGTTTTATTTAATAACCCAGTCAACAATTGAGTATTGATTCGAGGTTCAATTTTGTTAATGTATTGACAATTTATTTCACGAACGGATTGTTGAATCACTGACGGAGGGAATCAAACGAAGGAAAGTGTGGTTTTCACATTGTTAGGCCCGAGTCAATCATCGATCTTCACACGCTACGAGCATACTTCTAATGCTAAATGAGCTCAAACAATAGCGGGAATTTTGCCTATTAGCATTTGCATACGAGTACATTATACCGTCCCGTGCTTCAGGAGCTGCAAAGGCTGGCTATAGAATCTGGAATAGTATTAAGGTCAAGTTAACGCTAGAACATCTAAATGTTTAAACGATTCTGCGCCATGTCATTTACAAGAACTTCAGAGACTTATAAGCCCGCAAGATCCCAGCGCTCCTTTTTTTTTTTTTCGCTCCGTTAAACCTCAAACCTGTTAGATACAACATGATAAATTATGGTCTCAGGGGGTTGCTGCAGGCGCCTTTATGGTGACATGAGTTACCAGCAATTCAGCCGCCTGGGAATTGTGCGTTTGTCTGATAGTTTATCGACGCACCTTGTTAAGCTTGCTTTTGAGTTGTAGCCATTTGATTTTTCAATTTTCTCTCTTGTAATTAGCTTAAATTTCTACATTTATACTCGTCTGTAAATTAGGATATTTGTTATATTTTTAAACTTATGTAAAGCGCTTAGAAATGTTTTTATAAGCGCTATTAATATAAATTTTATTAATGATTATTATTATTATTTTATTTAACACAGTAAAAATTACGGATAAGGCTATTTTAATAATTGTAATAATAGACCTTGTCACGGTTTTCGACGCCATCTTGACGAGTAGGCAAATGTGTGAGAAATTACAGTGTTTGTATGAGAATCTAATGTCGAATAACTTCCACAAAACTGCTGTTCTGAAAAAATATCAATTGTAAACTAATTTGTACACTGGCTTTTCTAAGTAGTGCATTCTTCAAACTAGTTAGAGACTTACTCCCAACAAAAACAGGTGTTTATCTTACGA